TTTTTTTTTTTTTTTTTTTTTTTTTTTTTTGAGAAAATCGTGAAAATGTACAAAGTTTCGTCGAGTACGTGTGCACTTGAGAGGCAATGAGAGTCGATTGGACGGGTTTCTTCGCACTTAGCCACTATGAAGTTCTATGCAGTACGCGTGCACTCGAGAGGTAACGAGAGTCTCGGTTGAACGGGTTTCGTCGCACTTGGGTGAAGTATCGTCGAGTACGTGCGCACTTGACAGAGGTAACGAGACTCGGGCGGATGAAATTCGATAGCCCATTTCCTCGAAAACGGATGCTCGTGTCAAAAATTCTCGTTTTATATGTTCGATCACCTTTCGGTTTCTTTCGAACCACCGAACACACACCTAGATACCCAAGTGCGAGGAAACTAGCCTACTCTCGCCGACTCTCGGCTACCCTACCTCCGCCAGTTTTCCAACTCAACTTTGCACGAGGGATCGCAACCCCTTTCGGCTCGTACCACGATCTCCGGCACACCCTCTATGTCTACCGTGTGTATAGTCGATATCGACGTTTAACAATTTATACACGTTTAAAGAACAGATAATGGGACGGTGAGAATTTTAGACGCTTATTGCCCTCATCTGGGTGCAAATATGGCAGAGGGTGGCCGTGTAAAGGGTGATTGCTTGGAATGTCCCTTTCACGGTTGGCTATTTCGCGGTTCCGACGGACAATGCGATTACATCCCCTATGCTGACAAAGGTAACCCGATTTACCACCTCGATTTCGATCGTTCGTTATCTCTCTTATAACGTACGACCAACGTCGATTGGTATACAGCTAGCTTTTAATCGTCGTCCATTATAATCGTCGTTCGTTTCGTTTTAGTGCCACATATTGCCAGAACGAAAACTTGGAAAAGTTGCGAGGCTAACGAGATCATCTTCGTTTGGCACCACGCCGAGGGATTAGAACCACACTGGCAGCCGCAAACGATTAGTCACGTTTTAAACCGAACATGGCGTTATCAGGGTCGAAACGAGTTTCTTATCAATTGTCATATACAGGTCAGTTCAATTAGTTTGCGTGTAATTTCCTTGTCCTTTCCTTTTCATTTTGTACAAGTTGTTGGTCCATCTTGCGATAAAACGAACGGACGCGGATAAACACTCGGATCTTGCTTTTTCCTTCGAAGAGCGCCTTCGAAGAGTTTAGTGCCGCTCGAATAGTTTGTACATGCTTCTGCGAGAAAATATCTAACGTTGTATCTCTATAACATTTAGAGATGATAGATAAATAAGGATAATCGGGGTAATTCGATCGATCATGGAAACTAAAATCAAGGAAACCAAGTAGCCATTAACGTTTAGATCGACGGCGATCTCTTAGTATCCTTCTCTTTTCTTTTTCCTTTTTTTAGATATCTGTTAAGTAAAGCTGATGGATATTTGAAATAGGAAATGGATCTTGGACTCCTTGATTGCAGCCTCCATGACGAATCCTAAGAATCGTTGCTTCGGGTTTGCACAGGTAAAGAACTCGTAACTATGTATCATCGCTAGACTGTGGATTTTCAAGCGTTTACAGGAAATTTAAGAGTGGAAAAAACGCACAGAATGCGCCATATATATCCAGAGTATAAAAGCAACGAGGTTCGATAGACGAAACAAATTTTCGCTCAAGCTCTATAAACTATCTCTCTAGTTGTGTTTATAAAAATACGAATTTTCATAGACGGGCGCAGCCTGATCCCCGAGCTAAAGCGCAATTAATATAACCCATAAGAAGAAGATCATTTTTACATTGATACGACTGCTTACAAATAATATTTAAGTAGACGGAACTTACGAAAGGAGAATGTCCTGTGTTAAATCGTATTAACCTTAGAATCTGACGTGACAAAATATTCATTAGAAGGTAGAATTCTGACGGGGAAAAAAAACCTATAACGTTATGATATAAATATCACATTTTTTATAGGAAGTTGCGGAGAATGGTGCCGATTCGGCACACCTGAGCGCGGTGCACGGACCAGCGATATTTGCAAAAATTGCACGTATCTTCTCTGCTTTCGCTCGTCATTCGTGGACGAACGTCAATTGGGCACCGCATAATTCTTTCTTAGAGTCTCAAAACTCGAACGGAACCGAGTCGGAGAAACAGGATGGTGAAAATTTAAGGCACAGAGCATACATGACTTTACGGCACAGACTGATTCTGTTCGAGAAGTTCCAAGTTTTACCATTGGACGTAAACGTTCAGCAAATCGGCCCAGGATACGTTGAACTCATGATGCACAGCTCTCTAGGATCCATGTGTATTTTCCAAACGGTGACACCGATGGAACCCCTCTTACAAAAGGTTCTAATTTTAATTAAAGCCTCGAGTATACGTTTAACACGGTCAAATCTAGCCATTTGCTTCTCCTCGTAATATACAATTCGTACAAGAAATAACATTCTCTTGAAAGAGGATGGTAACGAACTTATTTTCTAGAAAAAAAGAAAAAAAATGAATTTCGATGGTAGATAGTAGATTGTTGGTAATTGCCGGTAACCATTGTTCTTTGTAATACGACAACTGTACCGTCTTCTTTCTAATTGTTATTTGTATCATCAGGTGACTCACATACTATACTGTCCACCATTGCTTGGTCCATACGCTAGTATGTTATTCCTAGGAGAGTGTTTAATGTTCGAAAGAGACGTAGCCATTTGGAATCGAAAGAAGTTCGAGAAACGACCGCTCCTGGTCAAAGAAGATAAAAGTATAATTGCTTATCGCAGGTGGTACGCCCAATTTTATTCGGAGCATAGTCCAAGTTATCATTCCGCTATCAAATCTTTACAATGGTAGCGATACCATTCCTGTTATAAAGCATTTTCACATCTTTGATAACGCCCGCTAAATTTCATATCTCTGATAATTGTAAGAACGATAATATTAGCGATTATATTAAATAAATACATTTTAGTGCAATAAGATATCTTTATACATAAACATTGATTTTATTCGTATAACGTTAAAAATATCTTAAGAATAATTACAAAGTATAATGTATTTAATCTAAGAAAATCAAATATACGAATGATTATATTATTATTATTATTATTATTATTATTATTATTATTAATATCATCATCATCATCATCATCATCATCATCATCATCATCATCATCATCATCATCATCATCATCATCATCATCATCATCATCATCATCATCATCATCATCATCATCATCATCATCATCATCATCATCATCATCATCATCATCATCATCATCATCATCATCATCATCATCATCATCATCATCATCATCATCATCATCATCATCATCATCATCATCATCATCATCATCATCATCATCATCATCATCATCATCATCATCATCATCATCATCATCATCATCATCATCATCATCATCATCATCATCATCATCATCATCATCATCATCATCATCATCATCATCATCATCATCATCATCATCATCATCATCATCATCATCATCATCATCATCATCATCATCATCATCATCATCATCATCATCATCATCATCATCATCATCATCATCATCATCATCATCATCATCATCATCATCATCATCATCATCATCATCATCATCATCATCATCATCATCATCATCATCATCATCATTATTATTATTATTATTATTATATCTACATACTATATAAATATTCCCCTTCATAAAGAACGAATGAACTTTCCATAAGCATTATTCGAGTAGAACTATTGTAACAAGTAGATTGCTGATATTTATGCAAATTCCTATTTATTATTTAGGAATATAATTAGAAAAGAAAAAAAATGGAATTTAAGTTAGATATTGTTTTACCTTAAATTAAGTATTACGAAACAGGTAATACTTAATTTAAGATATTTTACCAATAAATAGTTTACTAATAAATACCGATTAAGAAATTAGACGAATTCACGTCATTTACAAAAGAACACACCCAAGTTTTCAATCCCTTTGTCCAGTTCTTTAAGTTTCAATTCAAACTTCGTTTTTACATTACTACATTATTATATAGCTAATTAAAATTATTTGTTACAAATCGATATAGAGATTTAAATTAATCGTTATATCCCGAAGCTTTCTTGCAAAATTTGTCCAAATACGAAACCTAGACGTTCCAACGGTTCTACAAGTTTTGTTATACATTTTAGTATTTCTCAAGATTTTAACGTTTTTCCTTCGTTCCGGAATTGTATTCATCGTCATATCTTCGTCATATCCGCTCCATAAATCGAATAAGAGAATCCGACGTTTAACGGACTGAGAAATACACTTCCGAACCATGCCCTAAAAGTTCTTTATTCGATTTTCCTCGCATAAATGCTTCATCGATGATATTAGACACTTTGAATAATTTGCTGCGCACGCGGTCCTAACTGTCCGCTACTACAAATAAAGGAGGTAGCAATTTACCATTTTTCTGACGTTGTTGTCTAAACTGTATAGCTGTGCGTAATTGCCAATGTTGACTTTCCCAAGGAGTACCACTATTGCGAACATAATACTCAATCATTGACATCGATCGTTTGCTTAAAAGAGTTTGCTTAAAAACAAGAATCAGTGTCTAGCAATAAAAGAAACTTTTTCTCACAGTTATCACATATATATACGAACAAGGAACAACTCGAGTACTCCGCGTTCCACATCGAGCGTGAAAATTTCAAATATAATAAATTCTTTGTAATCCAAAAATCGACAGCCTAATCTATCCTAATCGTAGTTTGTGCATATAGGCGTAGTATTTATAAACAAACATTCAAGAGGACTTCTTAACATTTACCTGGAATAACTAAACACGCTGTTTTTTAACATATTATTTAAACAAATGGATTCTTCTATAAAATAATGTATATCGTCTAATTCGTCATTGAGAAATACTAATTTCATCGATTTAGACAATTTCGCTCGATCTGCAGTAGTTTCCGAGATATTCGACAAAACAGATATTACAGCACAGAATTTGGAAACGGTTTTCACTTCTTTAATATGGACAAATATTTTTATAAGAATCACATCATCTATGAATTTCGTCAAGATCGATGATCGACGCTTCGCTATGTTCTCCTGTTAGACTTAGATCGATCGTTTAAAAGTTCCCATAGTTAGCCCAGGCTCGATGAAGGAAAATAAGATCACGTGATAGATACACGGGTCACGTGCCGTAGCTGATTGGTTAATTGGATGCGTGGCGGTTCTTCGACGCCTGAAAAACAGTTAGCTTGCTGAACACAAAGACTCCGTTTCTCGTCGCTCAAGAGAAGAGCATGACTTCCGAAATAAACCTGGATGATGTAAGTAATTTAAATTTGTCGCGGCTTTTTCTTCTAGCCAATTGCATTTCACCTTGTACCATTTCCACATTTTCGCATTCGCTATCTTAAATCATAACCTTACTTGGATTAGAATTTTTTGTTATTCATCATTTAAACCCTCTCTTTCTCTCTCTCTCTCTCTCTCTCTCTCTTTCTCTCTCTCTATGGTAAAAATATCTAGTTAAGCAAATAACTGTATCTCCTTTATAATTCTGTAACATAGTTTATTTTAGTTATTATCGATTTTTCACATTTCATTAGAATTATAATTCGTCTAAAAAATAGAAAAACATATAAAATCCAATGTGATACTGTCATAAAATTACGTAATAGAAAAAGTAAATATACTCATTACATATTGATGCAGGAAACATGTTCAAAATAAATTGATAGATACGAATAATAATCTGTGTCTAACAATATTAACTTTTAACAACTCATGTTTTTCTATAGAAAATGTGCTATATCGATCGAAATACTAATCTTTACATTTAACTAATAAATAAAGTGCCTAAATATGTCTATCTTTTTTTATGATATTAATCAGTATCCTCTTTACATATTAACAATCTGTTATTCTAGTATTAAAAACCTTATAGACGTGTAGATAAAATTGATAAAAACATAACGAAAGACATTAAATTTTAAATTCAAATTTATACGTGGTATATTATTTCACATAATGATTAATAAGTTAGCAAGCGAAGAAAATAAAATAATATATGCTAGAATATTCATACTTAACCTCTTATATAATAAACTTTATTGTATACTATACATTTTCAACAATCACTTTACTTGCAAATTCAATAATCTGTTCCAATTTAATTAATTATTAAATTATAATCAAGTGTGTGACATATGATACAAAAAGATCTTTTACGCTGTCGGAAGGTTTTAGTAACCTAACCTATGTATTATTTAATTTATAATTAACTGTTGTTGAGTTAGAAATTTTTATTGTTATTATTACTATTATTACTATTATTATATTATTATTATTATTATTATTATATTATTATTATTATTATATTATTATTATTATTATATTATTCTTATTATTATTATTATTATTATTATTATTATTATATTATATTATTACTATTACTATTATTATTATTATTATTATTGTTATTATTATTACTACTACTACTACTACCACTACTGCTACTACTACTACTACTACTATTATCATTATATTTAAATGTAATATATTTTTTTTATTTTAATTCCACCTTTTATATTTTATACATTTTTATATATATATAAAACTTCAACTTACATACAAACAACTTACATATATCTTCAAAAAGAGATTAATAATTGAGCCTTCTTTGTAACATGATTTTTTATTTATATCAAAATATATGTAATATTATGAAATAAATAATGTTAAATGTATTTTTCAAGAGGTCTTCTTTTATTCAAAAATATTTCTCTCCAATCCTGTTTCAAAGAAAATAAGGAAATTCGTAATTTGGCAGACAGATACTTGTCACAATATGATGAGATAATTTTTAAAAAATAATTCGCTCTAATAATAGCAATTTCATGATGATTGCAAGAACGACGATGTAAATATCTTTCGCAATAGCGCCTTATATATTTTTTGCATATAAACTATGCGTTTCTATTTTATCTAATAATAGATATTAGAAAATTTTAACTAAAGTTCAAGATTACATTTAAATTTAAATATATTTTGATGTAATTCTTAAAATTTTCTCTTTTTAATACAGTTCCCAACACTGAAACTAAAACATGTGCATATTAAGGACAAAAGACGTCTATTAAGGACAATAAACACAATGTTGACAGATGGATGTAATTCTTTACAGGTATGCATTTTTTCAAAATACTTTTTCATTTCTATTCGTATCAGCTACTTATTGTTTATTTCTATGCATAAATTCCTAGTTTCAATCTACGCGTGTATACATAATTTTAAATTTGTTGGAAAATATTGCTTTCAGATAGTCACCGATTTTGACTTAACATTAACTAAACAACACGTCAATGGAAAAAAAGTTCTCAGTAGTTTTGGTATGTAAATTTATAAACATTATTTTATTGTAATCACCTATTAAGGCTTAATTAAATTTATACAGAGTAAAATTTAGTACAGCTTTTTATTTATTGCCTTGTAATTTTGAAAAAAAAAAAAAAAAAAAATAGGAATCTTTAGCAAGTGCAAGCAACTTCCAGAAATATATGCAAAGGAATCAAGTCGTCTTTATCAGAAATACAGACCGATCGAAATAGATCCTAATTTATCTATTGAAGTAAAAACAGAGGCAATGAGAGAATGGATGATAGCAGCAGAGGAAATACTGAAAGGAATACCTTTTACTCCTGATGAAATACCAGAAATAAGCAATATTTATGGAACACATTTAAGGGATGGTACTAAAGAATTTTTTAAAAAACTGCACTTTGTTAAAATTCCAGTACTAGTCTTTAGTGCTGGTTTAGGAGATATCGTCGAAGCTATATTAAAGAATCAAGGAGTTCTATTTGATAATGTAAAGGTGACAGTTAACACATAAAATTTTCTCTATCGCTTTATCTTCTTTGCTTTTTCTAAACTTGTAGTAACAATGGCAGAAAGAATATATTCAGAGTTATAATATTCATTTTTAGATAATCTCCAATTTTCTCAAATATAAAGATGGAAAATTGGCAGGCTTTCAAAATGAAAGACTAATTCATGTTTTCAATAAAAACGAACATGCAATAGAACAAGACTATTTTAAAGTTCTTGAAGGAAGGAAAAATGTTTTTTTAATGGGTGATACCATAGGAGATGCATCGATGGTCGATGGAATGGTGAATACACGTGCTGTACTAAAAATTGGTTTTCTTTATGACAATGTAAGTACTATGTATTGCATCGTGTTTATTTATAACAAATAATTATCATTGTATGTCTTGCCTTATAATTAGAACTTATCTAGAGAAGGATCATGAATTCTATAGAAATGTTGATCTTTTACAGATTGAAAGCAGCCTAGCTTCATTTATGGAAAAATTTGACATTGTCTTGGTCGATGATCAAACGATGCAAGTTCCGATCGATATATTAAGACTATTGTTATAACATATAACAAATAATTAAATGTGATTTTCTAATTTTTATCACTTATGAAGTATCTCTTCCACTTAATATAAGTAAATATTTATGTTTTATGTGTATCCCACCCATTAAGTGAAACTAATCACCATAGTTTAATTATGATTTATTTAATTCAATTGTAACAGTTTAGCGAAATTTATTAAAAGATATCATTTTAATGATAATATTGTTTCCCAGCGTGATTTTAAATGTTAAATATTTATAATGTATATATTTTCTAGTAAAAACTACTAAATTAATTTCAATAATCTCGTTAGAATGACTAAATAACATTTTTCGTAGAATAAATACATTTTCGTAGAATTTGTTTAAAAATCGAACAGGTCCGTACTAAAATTTTACACTATTAATATTTTTAGTGAAACTTTTCAAATTAATGAATGTATACGTACGTACATGTACTTATTCATAAAACTTTTTCTTTATAATGGCTATTATTATATTGCAGAAAGGAAAGAAATTCTGTTCTGCAAAATATAATAATAAAAATAACATTAAATGCAATTGTTGCTAATGATTATGATAAAATTCCCTACACGGACCACGAATTCATAACACTTTAGCACATTTTAGGAAAAAGTAAGTTGAGAACCGTTGATCAATGATTAGTCTTCAATACGCTACTTACTAACCACAAAGTACTGGTGTCTCTCGTTTATTGAAGTTTGATAATTTTGCATTCCAAAAAGTATTCTGGCGTAAGTTATTTCTAAATTGCTTTTAATCGAGACAACTTATTTTAGAATGCTGAATTGTAATGCTCAATATCAACGAATTTTATAAAACTTAAAACTTGAAATATAATCTCAACTTATCGTGAAATAACTCCGATCTTCGACAAATACAATTCGACTAATCGATTCTAATCGATATTAAATATCCTAAATTCGATAATAAATTGCAAATCGAGTCAAAAGCATTTATATAAATATAAATTAATTTCAATTGCCTTTCTAATTTGATTTATAACCAATAAATCTAAGATTTCTTTTATAGGTATTATTAATCCCTGAAGAAATTACGAGGAACTGTCTTACGTAAAATTATATTCTAGAGTTAGTAATAAATTGAAAAATTAAATGAACAGTATAGCAGAAGCTTGTAATAATCTTAAAAAGGACTATGATGGGTGTTTCAAACTTTGGTTTTCCGAAAAATTTCTTAAAGGTGATTTAGACGATTCAATGTGTTCGAATCATTTTAAATTGTACAATCAATGCCTTCAGGTAACCAAATTAATATCTTCCTAAATTCACCGTTTTTAAAATCTAAACATTAAAATGTTATGAAACTGAAATATGAATGCGATTTCTTGGGAGTTATATTCTTTACAAAATTTTGTGAAAATGAACTTATGATTCTGCAAACATTCGATAAACTGAAATCCAAAATAATTATTAACATCGTGTGATTGTACGTACATTTTCCGTATTTGTTTCTCTTTTAAACCAGACCTTAAAATCTCATAAAAGATGTCTGAGATAAAGTAGCCTCTGTGCTGTGTGGACAGTAATCATGAATTAAAGCAATGTACAAGTTTGAACATGCGGATTGCACAATTTTCCTCTTTTTCTGTATGAATAACTAAACAAAATTATATTAATCGGCCATGATTTAATCCATTAATTTTTTAATTGATAATTTAAATAAGAATATATTATGGAGGCTTGCAAAGAATTGAAAGAAAAGTACGATCGTTGTTTTAATGATTGGTTCTCTGAGAAATTTCTGCATGGAATCAATGACGATAGTGAATGTGCAGCTTTACTTAAAGTTTATACCAAATGTGTAGCGGTAAGTTAAAATGTTATAAGAAACTTGAATTTTTGAATTTCTAACCTTACTTTTGTTAGCTTATTATTGTGCCTATTTGATTATGAAAGAGCTAAATATACGATTAGAAAGAAATCACTTGAGAACGTGAACAATTATATAGAATCTAACATTTATATTTCAGAATCATGAACTTTGTAAATAATTTTTAAGATTAACCAGTCAAAATTAATCACTTTTATGCCTTGATAAAACTTAAATTTTATTGGACTTTCAATAACATAAAAAATAATATCATTATTACTAATTACTTTTGGAATTTGATGAAATTAATATGAATTTATTATGCTCAAATTCTATGTTGCTATTTCTAAATCTTTTGAAACAAATTTTTTATTACTTAATATTTCGTTAGAAAACAATTGTATTGTTACAATTTATAGGGTATACTTTATTCATTATAATTATGTTTCAGCAAGCCATGAAAGATCAGAACATAAATCTGGACGAAGTGAATGTAGCTCATTTGGGAACAGAACAAGAGAAGAAAATTGAAAATTGACAATTATGATTTTAATAGGATTTTCTCTTAATTTTTCTTATGGATGTGTTATATATATATTTAAATAAATCATTATTTTTATCATAAAACAATTTACACAATTGTGTTCTCATTATCATCAATAAGCACAAATATGAACATCAATGTTCAAATAGGTTTTTATTTGCCTATACAAAAGTTTTTAAAGATAATATCTAAGACTTCTTCATTACTGATAGCACCGGTAATTTTGCCAAGTTCTCTTGCTGCGTCTCTAATATCCTGTAAGGATATAGCCGTGTCATAAGTTGGTACTACAGTTCTTTCTAAATACAGTTCAAGACAATCTGAGACATGCAATAAATGATTTCTATATCGTGCATGACTGATTACAGGATTTTCTCGAGATGGATCTCCGCACCTGAAATTAAAAATATAGATTAATGCAATAAAATAGAAATGTTTTATTTGAACGAAATACTGTTTAAATCATACTTATTACAGTAATTACATTTATTCATATAATTTATTATATTACTTGGTTTTCGATATTACAAAAATAAAATACTCACAATTCCTCGAAACACTTTCCTAATGCGTTCGTAAGCTCTTCTAAACCTTCTTGCGTCTTACATGATATAGGAACAACATTTTGCTGCCTCCATCTTTCTTTTTCTTCTTCTTTAAGTAAGTCTATTTTATTTAGTACAGCAAGAACCCTCTTTTTATCTATTCCCAAATAATTTTTATACCGTTCTAAAAACATTCCTACAGAAGTTTTTATATTATTTTCCGCACTAATTAAACATATAACAAAATCTGCTTCTTTTGAGTATTCTTTTGCCTTTCTAATACCCTCCACTTCTATTTCATTCTCCGGATTATTCCTGATTCCTGCAGTATCTGCAAGAATCATTGGATATCCACAAATATTTGTTGTTAATTCTATAACATCTCTCGTTGTTCCCGGTGAAGATGTAACAATTGCTGCATCTTTTCTAGAAAGAAGGTTTAGAAGACTACTTTTGCCAACATTAGGCTCCCCAAGAATTGCTACGTGTACCCCAGTGCGTAAAATTTCCCCTTTTCTTCCGTCAGAAAGATGTTGCCGAATTTCTGTATATAATGTTTGCACAACAGTATTAGCATTTTCTAACACATTTGATGTTACACTGTGCTCTTCAGAGAAATCAACATAAGCTTCTAAATTGGCAAGAACATTTAAAAGCGTAATACGCCAAGAATCATAGAGACAACGGAGGGAACCACTTGCTTGATTAGAGGCCTGTTAAAGTTACAATAGGAAATGTTGTAACATAATAAATTCTAGTGCTATAAGGTAATTAAAAAGTATTCTTTCAGAAGGATATTAGAGTAATTTCATTTGTACCTGCTGACGTTGTTTTTCAGTTTCTGCTTCAATTAAATCCCCTATACCCTCCGCTTCAGTTAAATCTATCTTTCCATTTAAAAATGCCCTCTTTGTGAATTCTCCGGGAAGTGCTAGATGAAAACGTAGCTTTGAAAGTGCATTTAAAATTGATGTCACTACCGCTGGACCACCGTGAACGTGAAATTCTGCGCAATCCTCTCCAGTAAATGATTTGGGTCCTGAAATTCATTATTCATCGAATACATGAGTTTTTTATACTATTTATTTTCAATACATAATTTCGACAGACACTCCTTTGAATTAAACACTGAATCACATTACCTGGAAACCAAAGGCATAGACCCTTATCTAAAACTTCTTTTGTCTGAGGATCATGAATCTTTCTTAAGAAGGCTGTTCTAGGTTTTAGAGAAGATATTTTTGTCATTTTTTCCAATGCTACTAATGCTTCTGGTCCTGAAACACGAATTACTGCTACGCCACATTTACCATATCCTTTAATACAAAAAAAGCATTTATCATTTAATGAATCGTTTCATAAATTAAAGTAGTTAAATTAAAGTATAGTGAATGCGATAGAACAGAACTATTACTGTAAATTAAATATAATTCACTTCAAGAAAATACATTTTTTTAATTAAATAAAAACATAAACATATAGACATAATTAATATCTTTTCAGTTATATTGTATGTCAAATTGTAAATAATAATTTCATTTAATTCGTATTCATTTTCACATTGGAATTTATAGTTAAACACAAAGTACTTTAAATGTTTAAATTTGTGACTGCAAGACGCATGCGCAGTTAAAATTGGCGGAATGCTAAATGTTCTATCTGATAAAAAGCAGTGTTGAAGTGCATAGCTATCAAATGAAAATTTCTATATAATAAATGTATCGATTTTACAAAAATTTGAGCGATGCTAGAAATATAGAAGAAAGTGTAACAACCGGAAGAAAGTGCATAGATCGTAGAGGATCTATATTCACAAAAGTGTCTTTGCAGTAAAATTAGTGGAACAGAAATTCTGCGTCTCATTTTCTTCGAGCTGGTAGTTAACTTTCAAATGTTTTTATTTTAAAGTATTCGTAACATTTGTGTGCACAATATATAAACAGTAACAAACTTTCATAAATTTAATACGACGTTTTTTTTTTTTACATTTATTTTACATTGGCTTAGAATCAGGTTAGGTATTTAAGCACAAGTATTGAGCACGACCATTGATGAGGGGAATGTAAGATGGAAGTTAACGATTAATTGAAAAGGTTCGGTTTAATCAGGATACCGAATATTTTATCTACATTAACGAACTTTTTAAGTGTTTGACATTTCGTGATAAGTTTTAATAAGCTTTTATAGCAATGCAGAAAATAAAAATTGTATGTGTTATATGAAACAAGTTTACGATATGAATATTAAAGTGTAAATTAAGACAAAATGGCAGAATTTGGAAAGAAACTAATCACTAGTAAAGATGTACAGAAATGGTGTAACGATTGGGTAGAATTGCAAAAAAATTTTACATATACAGATGAACCGCAATGTAAGAGAAGACATACAGACGACGACGATAGTTATAATACTGATTCCGAGTTTGATTCCGTATCAGAATGTGGAACAAAAAGAAGGGTTGGTTTCCCGCTGAAACGTGAAATTTATCATCTATCATGTGAATGGACGAGCTGTAAATATGAAACCAATCACGTCGAGAGATTCGTAAATCACGTGGCCACGCACGTGTCTGATTTAAATACGCGGACCAATGAGAAAGAAATCAGTGTTTACATATGTCAATGGACTGGCTGTTTGTATGAGAGTGATGATCCCGATGAGATCTCTAGGCATGTTAATTACCATGCCTATCATACTAAATTGAAATGTATCGGATCAAATGTTCGCACCAGAATTAAATTACCTGTAAGAAGTTATCTACTAGTAGTGAATTATAAGTGACCAACTAAATTAACCATTTTATTTCATAATTTTTATACGACGATTCTATATTATAATTATTTGCTCGTTATAAATATTATTTTAATAAAAAATTGTATAAGTTTTCTTTAAAAATTAAATAGAGATATAAAAATATTTGCGGGATTTATAATCTTAATATTTCAGAAATGTCGTAGAGATCCCGAATGGAAAAATGTTGTGGATCTTCCAGCGCCACTTCTTTGCCGTTGGGAAGAATGTCTGAAACACTTCAGAAATTATCAGTTATATTTGTATCATGTGGCTGTTCACATCGAGGAAGGCCCTAGAGGTAATAAAATTGAAGGAGGTGTAAAATGTAAGTGGACAGGTTGTGGCAGCTTATATCCCAATTTATACAAATTGAGGAATCATATCAGGCATCATACAAAAGAAAAGATCGTTGCTTGCCCTGATTGTGGTGCTACTTTTGCTTCCAATACAAAATTCCATATACATTGCAAACGGCAAATTCCAATTGATGGTAAGATAAAGAATTTCCGTTAAACAATTCCTATAACTATCACAGTCTATCCAGATATTATGTATAGTATTTTCAATTGTAGAGGATCATTAAGCCGGTTAATTACAAATATTTTATATCATTTTTAATATAATATAATAATATATTTTTAATATAATAACTTATTTTGCTGAGTGTCACATTTATAAAAATAACTTACTTTAATTATTATATTAGTTCAGGGATTCCAGTGCTCCCATTGTAATAAGTTTTATCCAACTGAAGGAATTTTGAGAGATCATATGCGAATGCATGTTTTCAATTATAAATGCACACTTTGTGATATGAGTTGTGACTCACCAGCCAATTTAGCCAAACATGTTAGATATCGGCATGTCTCTACCAGGAGTTTCCCTTGTCAGCTCTGCAATCATGCTGCCAAATCTCAACAGGATCTAGATACACACATGACAGTTCACACAAAAGGACCTAACTTTTCGTGCCATTTTGAAGGATGCCAATATAAATGCAAGGGCGCATATACTCTTGATAGGTACTGGAACATTTTATTTCCTGGAAATTCAAATAAAAAGGGCCGAACAAATTTTAATGTATTTCATTTTGATTGTTCGAAAAAAAGAGAGAAAAAGAAAAGAAAGGGAAGAACTTCAGTTTCTTCATGGCGATAAATTTATATTTTAAGGCACATCGAACGAGTTCACACTATGCAGGTGCGATGGTATTGCTGTCATGAATGTCCAGTAAAATATAGAAAAAGCTATAGACTAACGAGACATTTAATTGAGACGCATCAATTGCAATTACCTAGTGGTCATACACGATTCCAATACAGTCACGATGAAGATGGATGTTACAGATTACAAATGTTCAGATATGAAGCTGTTGAAGAAGAAACAAATCCTTCTATTAACCACCTAAAATTGCAAAATAAAAAATTTAAAATCAAATTAAATAAAGATGCCAGTGTGCCTCAAATTCAGGTAATATGGTTGTTTGCAGTAAAGTCTATAAATAGTTGTAAAAGAGCTTGACGTTCAAAAATGTTATGTTTTATCTATTAGGTTTTTGAAGATTTGGATGAAAATGAAGAGGAAAATGAAGATAACGAAGTGCAAGAAATGTCAGGGGAGAAAAACGACGAAGGAAAATCTATGCCGGTGATATCGAATATTCTGATAACGATCGATGAAACTGATGCCGAGGGAAATATAATTAGAAGTAGAGTTGTGGAAGCGCAAGAAACTATGGAATTGCCACCCACCGAAGGATCACCATTAATTTTAACATAAATTTATTTCACAACTGATTCGTACAATTTTTTATTAAAATTCAACAGGAACAAAATTTTATATATTTATTATAAATTGCTAATGATTTTTATATTCTTTTGTATTTTATATTGTTTCTCTTTCATAATTATTATTAATTAATACTTTATGTATGTCCCACAAAAAGTTTATAAATCGATCAATTTGGAACGATGTACTTAATTTCTTTCGTATGAGACATATAATTATAATTTCATTTTAAATAAATTTATCAAATATGTTTTTTTATAAATAAGTCTCTTATAAACTAGGAAGATAATCGAAGATCAAAACAAGCTTCGTCTTCTATATCTAATGAAGCGGGTGTATCTGTAGCCGCAATTAATTCACCATCAAAATACAGTTTAATTTTTGATTCCTCGACATCAAATTTTTGAGCACATTTCTCTAATAAAATTTTAAAATCATTATCTCGTTTAACAGAAACAGTTAGATTTTTCTTGCCTGTTGTTTGTATTTTTATTGCACAAACGTTTTCATTGTTCGTGTCTTTTCGAGGCATAGTGTCTGTACTGTCCCCCTTAACAATGCCTCCCTCTGTAAACATTTTTTTCTATTTTTATTTGAAAAAAACGTTAGAAGAAACTATAACTTTGTGCGAAGAAGATCAAAGTGGCAATGAATAATTTACCGAGTATGTCTATCACAGACAAATTTATGGATGCTGGTGTATCAGTTTGTTTAATAGTTACATCTTTTTTTGTTATTAAAATTTCATCTACAGATACTTGTTCTAAATTAGCAAAATATTCAAAAATTTGTCGAAAGTTTTCATTCTAAAACAATGGAAACATTTTTATTTTCGAAATAAAGAGGTAAACAATAAAATTAATAGTTTTTTAAATACTTAATTAGTGTGGCATAATTGTAATAATTTCATAAACATGATTATGAAATATATGTAATTATATTTTGATTGCGTACCTTACAAATATTCAAACGATGTATGTCCTTTGATCGCCAAAGGATTTTAATGTTTATTTCATAATTCTCAGTCTCACTAGAATGTGAATTCTCTTGTGTACCACTTTCAAGTACAAATAAATCATTTTCAGGTGATTTTGGTTTTCCTTCTATAGAAACGATTTCTAGATCTGAATCTGCCTCATTGTCAGTCTGCCATGCATTTCTTTTCTAAAAAGAACAGCAACGAAATTGGATATACAACATATTTCAATTAATTGGATTAATAATTCCATGGGTTCATGAAAAGAGCGTTTGTCTCTAATTGTTTACTTGTCTTTGTCTTGCCGATTGATGACTAGTAGTGTTTCTTTTACCTCTTGTATTACGATTTGCTTTTTGTTTTTCTACTTTTCTTCTTGTTCTAATTTTGTTGGAGTCTTCTAGAATTCTGTAAGGTAATAGGAAACTTCAAGTTAGCATAAGATTATAGCGAAAAGGTATTAACGGTGTATAATACATGTAATTTTTAATTATAAAGCTAATCATAAAAACTAATTTGTTATGAACTTTATATGTATTAGATGTGCACCAACTCTTTGTTATTTTTTTGCATCTTCTTCACCTCATTCTCCCCCTTTTGGTCGTTATGTCGTGGTGGTTGCGGCTTCTTCCTTAAGGCTATACGTCAATTTTTAATTATATCATCTGTTTTTATGTTATACCGTAAATTAATAATTTAAAAACATTACTAACAATAATATCAATAATTATTATATACGTACCATTTAACTTTGCAACAGAATTTAAGTACATATCATCATCATCGTCGGATGAACTTCCTAATTGAAATGTTTCCATTATTGTCCAGTATTGTTAACAATATTATGATGTAAAGAGGAAAGTGAATTGGAATAGTACAACTTTTAGTCCGATATTCCTTTACCTCACAGTAAAAGAGGGTTAGATATTTAACGAAAGTATTACTTTTCGTACACTTTCAGCTACACAATGTTTTCTATGCACTATGTCAAGAAAGAAACGAAATTTAAGTAACAACATTACTATTTAAAGAATTCAAATGAATAATGCATATTGAAGCAGAATAAATGGGTTTTTCTTCGATATCACGAACTTTTCCTATTCTAAATTGTATTTTAAATTGTGATTGCAGTGCCATCTTCATAGAACGGCACGATTTAATTGATCTGTTTACTGCAAGTTACATATACAATAAAGAATACTATATGTTACAATGTTTATAAAATCATATAAAAATGAATGTAAAACTCGATAGCTAAATACAAAAATGTTTATTATTCATTAATTATAATATTTCTTATCATTAACCATCATTGATTTACAATATTTCAAGACTATACAACTTCGGTACTCACAGTATTCTTTAAAATTCAAATTTCGAATGTAATAAGTGAGGTAAATAAATCTGATACGACCGTTTCCAAATTTTTTATTAAAATTCACTTTTGTGTAACATACTAATACAGTCTTAAAAATACTACGTTTCTTCTAATTTAATAATACTCAAACGTATTAAACGTATTACAGGGTATCGATGATAGCCAGATGGTTCGAATGAAATGGAGATAATTCCACATGAAAAAACAAGTCGAGAATATCGAATAAAGGTTTTTCATCCTCGAGAAAATCAAATTTAATCAAATTTAGAAATAGCATATGTGAATTTGGCTACCAGTACCAACTGGTAATTGAACTAAACAATCAGCAGAAGGTTATCTTACATGCGAAAATAAGTGAAAAATGTTGAATAAAATTTTTCCGTTTAAGGCCTCGTTTTCAAGAAAATAGTTTGATACACGCACGCTTGATTAATTTTGAATTTTTATTTTCTCAAAAATGGAACGTCCTATGACAAAATTTTACGTTACATTTTTTACTTACTTTTACCGATACAATTATTTTTCATCTATTATTCGATTCAATCCGGTTCGAAATTAACAAAGTTCAAGTATACTTGATAAATATTCAATCTTCAATTTCTCGAAAACGAAGCCTTAAATGAAAAAAATTTCATTCTATGTACTTCGTTCTATATAGTTTGTTCTTTTATAAAGAATAACCCCACTTTGCCTGTACCATCTGAAACACCCTAATACTGAAACACCCTGTACATTTAATTATACGTCAAACAATGAGATTCATTTCTATTCAAGTTATAGTCCAAATTAAGTATCTAGTACAAATACATTTCAATTGATTGGCAAATATATTTATCAATAATTGCTTTAATTTATATTATTTAAACATTTAAACGAAGACTATCGTCGCTCATAAATATTCCCTCTCTTTCTTTCGTTGATACAGGCCACTGCGATTGGTGCGTAACTTGTGACGTAAGTGAACGACGGTTCCACCCGTGGTCCGTGGTCCGTGGTCCTCTTTTATCTCTTCAGATCCTCGGTGAAAACGAAATCTCCCGGGTATCATGCTAGTCACACTGCCTGTTTGAGATTGAGCTTCCTACGTCATCTCTACTATCGCTCTCGATGATAAGAATTGCTTTTTGTCAACGAAATTCTGTGAGCGACCACTACCACGACCACGATCACTCTCCATTTTCAATCGGTGAGTATGTCTTCTGCTGAATTTCCGGTTGGCTGTCATTCCAAAATTTTACCAACTACCTGAAAAATATGACTTGCCAATACCAATTTAACTATTCACATTTGTATTGTTTTACGCTTTTTACTGTTTATTGTTAACATTAACATTGATCGGTAGACTTCTGTCAGGATATTCGAAGAAATTGAATTTTCGAGGATTCGTGATTAAAGATCTTTGTTTGATTGAAAAGCCGTTTTCCGTGAAATGTTAGCGGCTGAAAATAATAGCGAGATAGTCTGTGAAGGAAGTTGTTGAAGTATTTTTTCTAAATTAAAATCTAACCTTTCTAGTATATGGTTTCAGGTGGTATGGTCGTTACCTAACCTACTTTATTGCTTCTTCCATATTTAACGTTTAATTGTTTATGTATATAGATATCCATCGTTTAATGCTCAACTGATAATACTTAACTGATGCGTATATAATCGATAGATTATCGATTCTCGTGCTTAAGATATCGCTTATAGCTTCTTTACAGATATATACCTACTTATTTTCTTATTAATATTTTACTTTCCATTCATATATTTGCTCGTGAGGCGATATTACGTTGTCTGTTAACATTGTCATTTACGTTGAAATAAAGTTATACAGATTTAGACATATTAATTTCATCGCGGGATATCGTTATGTATGTATACGTCGTGTACATATGCTTTCACATGTATATAAGTTTTTAGTTATCTACAATAAGATTTAGCGAATATGTATCTGTGCATAATGCAATTCTGCACTTGCAATTGTGCACATATCAATTCGTTATATAATGATTCCTTTATCTTTTTTGTTATACTACTAACGTTCAAGGTTGAACGATAACATTCAGAGATGCAGAAGCTCAAATTAGTCTATAACACAAATTGTTTTCCGTCTTTCAAAAACGTTACTATCAGACTGCGGATATTTATGGAAATTAATATTTCTATAAACATTATTAAAGGAATGGAATCTACACAGAAATTGTTTTATCTATTAAGTATTAATAACAAGTATTGTATTTTAGATATTTTATATATTTTCGCATTTCATGTGCATCCTGAATATTTTTGCATCTTCCAATTTCCCATAAATATATAAAAATCCGCGGTTTAGCGATTATTTAAAATAATGCGAAAAGAGTTTATATGATTGAAATGGATCGAAATGAACGGATTTATATGATTGAATAGAATTTATAATATTTGTGTGAGACTGCAAAGTGTGAGAAGTTTTAAAATATGTAGTTAGTAAATCAATCGCAGAGTTGTACGCAAATTGAAATTTCCTTGAAACTTCATGGAGTTTGAAATATCAAACCATTATTACTTTAGTTACCGAAGTTGCCAACATATTTAGGGTAAACATGACGAGCAAAAATTGTTAGTAAAATCAGTACATTTGTGACATCAATTTGTGTATTTTCACTTTATAACATAGGCTTTAATCATGTAGGTAATTTAAAAGAAAAAAAAAGAAAAGAAAAAGAAAAAAGAAAGAGAGAGAGAGAGAGAGAGAGAACGAAAAGAAAAAAATCTCGGTTTATGTATTCAGTGAAACCGACCTCGTAGAGTTCGTCGCGATGACGGAATTCATTGAAGAGAAATCGATCGACACTTGTGTCGAAACCCCTCGAATTGTAACGCATCGAAAATCGCTGAAAACGTTGAAAGGCTTGAGTAGGATTATTTTACAACTTGCTGATTGCTCGATTTTCGTCTAAAGAGTGAAACTCGAAGAAAGAAATTTAAAAGGAAACCTTATTTACGAACATGGTTACAGGGTGTCCCAGCAATCGTGGTACAGTCGACAATAATGCTGGTTCTGTGTGAAAAAACAAATTAAAAATATAGAATAAACGCTTTTTCATACGACGCTTCGTTTTCAAGAAAATCGAGTTTGAAAATTTGTCAAGTATGCTTAAACTTGACTAATCGCAGGTTAGATGCGTGTAAACAATCAGCAGATGATTATTCTATGTATACGAGAAAATAAGATAAAAATGCAAGTTAAGAACTGACCTAGTATACGCGCGCAATAAATTTTCAGATTTATTTTTCTTGAAAACGAAATATTTTATGAATAAATTTTATTGTATATTTTCGACTTCTTTCTTCGCGTAAAATCATCCTATCGTCGATTGTACCACGATTGCTGGGACACCCAGTATGTTTTTAGATATGTATACTGAATTAAAATAAACGTTTTTAAAAGTCATGCAACGTTAAAGTTATTGTTTCTTCATGTATTATCACCTTTTTTTATTCAGAAAACTTAACTTAAATCTTTAACTCAATATAACAGAGAAAGTGTAATTTGCCATACATATTTACTAGTCTCTCATAATATTCGAATGGTCGTTGCTAGTCAAACTGATGGTTACGACGCGACGTCTGCTGGAAGCTCTGGCTTTCGTAAGAAATCAATGATGTGTCCAGGTCATATTTCTCGCCGAGAAATGGTAGTTGAAAGTGGCAATGTTGCCAGTATAAGAAGGACCATTTGCATCCATAGTTGTGCACGTGTCATTATACATATGCGTGTAAGTTGTATGTACAGAAAACTTTTCGTAATCCTTAGAACCTAATGACGAACGGATACTTTCCATATGCTTATTTATATTACAATATTATTTTAATACAATAATTTTATCCATCATGATGAAAATATAACTTTGCCGTTACGTACATTGATTGCTGTTAATTGAAAGTTTATATAAGATACAGTATATGTGTATGCAAATCTAAATTTGATATCGATAATGCATTTAATTGGAAGAAAAAAGATCAAGAAGTTTCTTATTTTATTGTAAGTTTTTAGAAGAAGATAATTACCAACGAAAAATTGCATAACGAAGAACAATATTTTATTAAAAGAAATATTTACCTACATGCAATGAATATTGAATAAAAATACAAATAGAATCAGTGATCAAGAAATTAAGATATATGATCAACTTTAGAATAATCCCTGTTCAAGACATTTTCAAATTTTCGTATTAATTTTTTACCGCTTTAAAAATATAATCCACTGTCTTTATCCAAAAATAATTATAATACATAGAATGTAGTCGTGTTGCATAATTTTGTATACAGTAACAAGTGTATATAATCATTATCGTATATTTACCACATGTAATTTTGTAACAGGAAGGAAATTATAAATTATAGTTTCAATGGAAAAGGACAGCGTGAAAAAAGTTCCAGATCAATTTAAGTAAGTAATCCGTTCGATGCAAGAAAAACATAACTAACAAATATATCTGATTCTCACCGTAACGATGTTATGGCACAAGCGTGTACAAATTTACGCTTAATCAACGATTAATAAATTACCAGTATATTTGTGTGTGTGTGCGCGCGCGCGCACACACACACACACACACATATATATATATGTCGCAAATAAATTTTAGACTTCTTCCAAAAATTATAAATGGCGGGATCGCAGGTATCATCGGTGTCTCTGTGGTATTCCCACTGGACTTGGTTAAAACACGATTACAGAATCAAGTTATTGGCCCTAGTGGCGAACGAATGTACAAATCAATGTAAGTGATTACAGCTTCCGATAAATCTTTAAGAAAATAGGATAATCACATTGAGTCAACTTGTACAAAATAAAATGTAATGGTTTTTCTAATTAATCATAAAGATGATATATTTCAGGTTTGACTGCTTTAAGAAGACTTACATTGCTGAAGGCTACTTTGGCATGTATAAAGGATCTGGTGTGAACATTCTTTTAATCACACCAGAAAAGGCAATCAAACTCACTGCCAACGATACATTTCGTTATTACTTATCTACAGGGCCTGGGTATGTTATTCTTCCAATAACAATTAAGTGTTAAGCAAAGATGTGCATACTATTAAGAATAGTACTACATACATACGCTGGTATGTATAATAGCGATGTCTATAACCTATATTGATCGATCGATATTGATACCGACATTGACATTCATATCTCGATATAATGTCGATATAGGGTATATTCATGACTATATATACATGTATACATATACATATGTGCGTATGCGCACGCACGCACGCACGCACGCGTGTGTGTGTTTAATGTACATTAATACTAATCTAATATTAATGTTGATAATTATACAGAGATAACAATGTTGGTAGTTAAAGTACAGCTAATAGCAGTGATAGTTAAAATCTATCGATTTTCTGCACAGACAGAAACTGCCACTAGAACGTGAAATGCTTGCCGGTGGATTAGCTGGAGCATGTCAAATTATCGTCACAACACCGATGGAACTACTGAAAATCCAAATGCAAGATGCTGGACGAGTAGCGGCAGCGGCAAAGGAAGGTAAATTTTGTAAAATATTCGCAATTAATTAGAAACCAAATTATTTACAAAAAACCTTATTTTACAATTAGGCTAAAACGATTTTGAAAACATTGAACGAGCACAATTATTAATAATTTGAAAGTAATTCTTTCACAGAGCACGTAAAGTATTTTACATTCTATTTACGTTAACGTATATCACAAATTTCTCAAGTACATTCAAGTACTGAAACGTGGAATGAATTGCGATCTAGATTTGGTTTCGGGAAATTTGATTTCGTTCGATTCGTATTTTTTACAGCTACACGACGTCCGCGATAGCCGATAAAAATTTCAGGACGGGAAGATTTAATTGCAGACGGATGGCAACGTATCAAATATGGACCGGTAAACGGTTTGAGAGGAATGCGTTTGTTTCAAGATTAGAATAGAAATGTTGTTATTGTTAACGCACTCTCCAGGATCAAATTTTGATTTTTGGAACTCTGACTTGTTCTATGAAAAATGTTTTCCTTGAGGAAGAAATTTAATACCTTTTACAAAATTCTTTTACAAAATAGATATATTTTTTTTTAATTTTTCTACTTCCTAACATAAAACATCATGTGTCTTCACAAGCAGTGTTCTTCTCTTAAAATGAAATTGTTAATTAATCCGTCTACTCCAACCTGGTGTTTTTCACCATTAAGTTTCTCTTGTCCATTTTTTAAGATTTAATTCTTTATGTTATGCCTGATTTATCGAGGTGTGTCTCCCTCCTTCGTGTCAAAGGTTCTCTTTGTGTGTACTGGTTATTCACCTTTTACGATATAAAATATAAAACTAACAACTGACCGGAATTCATTAACGCATTCGTTGTTACTGGCGCATAACGTTACATAGATTTAATTATCGTCGTAATACTGCTGACGTAATCATTGCAGTTTGCTTTTGTGCAGTCTGATAAAAAGAACGACAAATGGAACAGTATGGCCGTATTTTAATGGCAGCGAATGCGTTAGTTATGTTTATGATTTTAGTAGCGTTATTTGTATAAAAAAGTACTGTATTAAAAAATCCGTTATACCTAAAATAAGCATAGCATAATTTTCAAATTTAACGTTAAAATTTCTTAAACGTACAATTCTTTCTTAAAGATACAACATTTCTAAGATTTAAGTTTTCAATTACAATGATTGATGGGACACAATTAATAGCAAAATGTCGACGATTATTTGTTACTTATTATTTATGTGGCAGGATTAATTTATGGCGTGTAAATACGAATAATTATTACAGCTGGGAAAGTTGTACCAAAGGTGTCGGCTTTATCATTAACGAAAGATTTATTGCGGAAAAGAGGCATTTTGGGACTTTATCAAGGTACTGGTGCAACAGCGCTTAGAGATGTCACATTTTCTATTATTTACTTCCCACTATTCGCTAGACTGAACGATGTTGGGCCAAAGAGAGAGGATGGTTCCTGTAAGTTTCGATCTCATTCTGAACATTTATTTATAGTTCAAAGATTTAATTAACATTTTTTGTTTCATCGGCTAGCCGTATTTTGGTGTTCGTTTTTGTCTGGCTGTATCGCTGGTTCTATAGCTGCATTATCAGTGAATCCGTTTGACGTAGTCAAAACAAGATTGCAAGTAATCAAAAAGGCACCCGGTGAACCAACATACGATGGTGTACTGGACTGCATAACGTGAGTGTGACATTCGTATAAAATTATAATCATCTTAATTATCCCGTTGACATAATAATCTTTTCACGCTAATGTTTCTTGTGTGCGTTATCTTTCCTCAACCAAAAAATTATTACGGTTGACCAAAAAATATTCAGTTCCGAATGTGGTGAAAATATCGTAATCTCGAATAACTGAAAATCAAATTAATAAGAAACGGATATAATGTTTCATGTTCAATTGTATGACAGATAACTATACCAATTAGTTAATGCCAATGCGTTAATAAAAAAGATAATAGAAAAATATTAATATTTTGGATAATTTTAGAAAATTGTGTAAAAATACTGAAATAGTATAATTAATATTTATCCATTTCGTAGTAAAACATTGAAGAACGAAGGTCCAACTGCATTCTTCAAAGGTGGAGCGTGCAGAATGATCGTGATAGCACCCCTTTTCGGGATTGCACAAACCATTTACTACCTCGGCGTCGCAGAATGGCTATTGGGTCTTAAATGAACATCGCCCTCTTCTTCTTCTGTGTCGTCTTAGAATACTCTGGGATTAAACTGACAATAACTGGCGCGTAATAGATGTATGTTCGCTTAATACGGTTCGCTAGTTGCTGAGTAAGTGAGTTGTTCTTTTCTTAATTACTTGAGAACCTTGGTTATCGGATGCGCGCAAAATGTATTTAATGTTTATTTGATAAATTATCGACGTACAGAAGTGTCTTTTTTTATTTTTGATATTTATGTATTATTATAATAGTTTTTTTAATTGCAATTACTTTTAATTTTGTTTGTCTTTTTTCTCTTTTTTTTTTTTTTTTTTGAAGATTTCATAGTGCAATAAAGCTTTCAAAATAAAATGGAGTTGTAAATAAAATGAAAACCTCTCTAAGGTTTAAAACTTAACAAAATATCAAAAATTACACAGCATTTCAATAGTAATCTCATGAATTTATTTCTATGTGTTTTTGTGATTGTCTCTTCAGATAATCAAGGTTCTGGTGAGCTATTGCGAAGGCTAGGTCACCGTTTATAAATGATAACGTTGATTTTGACTTAATATTATTATTGAATGGGAATGAAATTCGTAATGTGCGATCGAATTCGCTTATTTCCACTATTGACGAACTAATTATAAATCTTAGGATTCTATTATTCCCATCTTACCTATCCCTCGTATGAATTACTTCTTCAACAACCAGTGTTTCCAACTTTCTTTATATACTTTTTTATTTCACATTTTAGTTTTTTATAACATTTACAATAAGTTATTAAGGTATCTGCAAAGTAAGATAGACGATTATTTTTACATCTTATTTTTATTTTATATATAAATGGAACGCGAATATGTCTGCGGAAAAATTTATAAACATAAAGTATGACATACCTAAGCACGTATTATACATCATATCGTTAATAAATATCGCGAAAAAATCGACTAAATTATTTATGTTGTATATATTATGTTGGGTAATGATGGGAACACTGGTATAGTCTACCGTGATAACAAGAGCTTACATTTTGTAAGAGATTACATAATTTCATTTGTGAATTCTAGTTAATGCTGTCGTCAGATCATTGCTATATCTTTAAGAATCAAATAATAGGAAATAACTCTTAATTGGTATGATTATAAAATATAAAAATCACGCATCAAGGAATGCATAGTTTTGTTGTATTTTAAATTTTGTAAATTAATGTTTTGTTTTAATGTATGTTTTAAATTAAAGTTTAACATATTGTTATTCTATGTTCTGTTAACATAATTATACGATTATCATAAACATAGCTAACTTATTAAAGAACCTCAAGTCGTTTTAATTTATGTTGTTTGAAATATTTCTATACTTATTTCTATCTTTTATAATTATTTATCTTCAGATGCATTTATAGATTTGTATCTGTTTAAAATATTTATTAAATATCACAACAATTGAGAGTTAAATTGTTCTTCCGTTTTCCTTCTTAGGAAATTTTGTGGAGAGATACTAGAAGAAATTTCCCAAATATGGGGATTTATTGTCAATTTTACTAGTAAAAGAAATTCTAGATATATAATAAAAATATTCATGTTATCGATGTATATTGACATTGTACAGAAGTAAATCTTGGCGGTTCTTCAAAAATATTCCTAAGGAAATTTATTTTTTTGCATAAGTTGTTCAAGCACAAATTTCTCTCCCATAAAAGACGAGAGAAATGTGATTTTGTTTCATTAGTACAATTTTTATTAAAAATGTTATTTAACGGTTGTTTTTTGCAAGGACTTTATTATATGTTGTTTCTTTTTTTTTTTTATTATTAAAATCGTATATACAAAGTGAAAGTGAAAAAAGGACGAGATAGATTCAATTTCCTAGTTATTTATTAATCCTTCCTGTGAGATCTTCTTTCTCATTATGTATATTCGTTGTCATTTATAGGTTTATCACGACGTACAAATATTCATGTTCTCTATCATTAATGTCAAGTTAACAAGACTACTAATTGTAATCTTTTCTTTTTCATTAAAAAAATTATAAATCTTTGCACTTGTTAACTGTAATAAGAAAAAGATTTTCTGTATTAGTTTTTTTTTTTCAAACGACTGACAGTTTGAACGTTGTAATATATGAAAGAAGATATAAATGAAACGTAACAAATTTAAGTTTTACCTCGCGTTGTAATGGTGTACAGGTTTGCGATAAAGTTCAAAAGCGCTTCCTCTCTGTTCCCTGCTTCCAGCGAGATCTAGTCCACTCGGTTCCCGATTATGTCCTGGACTGGTTGGGAAACTTTGTCCAGGTGCATTGTGTCCATTGTTGACGACGTACCCGTTGTGATTAACACTGTTTCTATTATGTGAAAGACCGAGGCTTAACTGACTGGCACTGTTACTATGACTATGAGTCGACATTGGCGGGCTACAATGCGCATGCGTATGACTCAAACTGTGATTGTGCGCAGGCGTAGATAGGTGGCTTAAATTGTGATGTGAATTTCCGAGATTTGAATCATGTCGATTTGGTGGTGGTATGTTGTAATAATACTGTCCACTATTTCGTTGGACATTATTGATGCCTTCTACCTAAAATCAAAATTTCTTATTTTAATGTTTTTTCTTAACGTTTATATACGAGAACAGCCTTTCGTAAAAATACTTCACTTACATGAGAAGTAGCAATGGAATAACTCTTTGAATGTTGATGAGTATTATTTACTTCATTTCCGTTATTTTCTGTTTGAGTCAAACTCGTTTGTGGTGGCCTATAGTTTTTTGGTTTCGGAGGGGGTATTGGCTTGTAGGATCCTCCAGGTTTATTTTGCGGTAACGTTATCGACTTGTAATCAGTTGTGCGGCTACAATATACGAAGCAAAATATTCTAGCGTACAGATACGAAGCAAAATATTCTAGCGATAGATACTGGATAAATAATAATAAAGATCATGAAAAACAAAAATAAGATATCTAAGGCGAGAAATATTTAATCTATAAAATAAAAGCTAGAAATCCAATATATAAAATAAATGAATGGTCTTAATAATAGCAGCCTTAATAACAGTGTAGTGCATTCAAATTCCAAAATGAAGTTTTTTAAGAATAATTGTACGATCTTTTGTATAGTAAATGACGATTAAAATTATACGAATGCCCGTGTATCTAGCTAGTATCTATGAAATATAGGATAATAAAAGGTACAATGAAATGAATTCAGACTAGCGTATCTCGACTAGAAATATAGATTCTACAGGCTTTCCTCAATGGTCGAGGTTTTCGTGCCATCATTCTAGAATTCAAAGACGAACAGTAAACAGATATAGCTTAAGAATTCGAACATTTTCATATACGAGCTTTCCTCCGTAGAATAACGAGCTATGCGTTTAATTAAATCCCGATCCCACCTATAATAAAAACATACCTGTATTTGGCATAATCAGTTCGTGGTTGGGAATCGTGATTTGGAATTGGTTGCGCAGTTGATCTAGTGAATCTGTAAGGATCGTGTGGTCTTGCCGGTCCACCACTGCTTTTTAAGTCGTCTGGGACATTGGGACCCAATCGACCGGTTGACGTACTTAAACCCGGTACTCCATAACTGGTATTTCCATTTGTATTATTATAGGAATCATAAGAAGACATGCTATCGTAGCTTCCCTATGAACACGTAGTGAAACATTAAAATCAGCACAATAATTTTTACTAAATTATCACTCGATGATAACCCAATGTTGTTGATAATATGGCTGTTCATTGATAATATAATGACATTAAGCCATTCTTACCGCTTTTGGTTGGGCTCTTTCGAGAGATGATGTGGCATTAGCTTTATGAGGTGTTGCATTTATATAATTTGCAACGTCCAATACCGAGTCCGTCTTATTTAGCAACCGTTCTTGCGCAGACCTCCCGATAGTGTTTCTTTGCTGTTGACTACTCGGCTTTGCATTACGATCCACTCTTGGAGGTAAATCAGGAGGACTATGATGAGAAGAAGATCGTGGCTCGAATGAACCACCTAAATATTCTGGTGATCCTGATTGATTGCTAACTTGTCCTGATAATGAAAATCCGTATTTTCCATCTCCCATTCCCCCTTGTGATCTTCTTTTTGGTTGTTCGAAGGATTGCTAGAGAAAGACAGATAGAGTGCTTTAGATTTTATTTATGATGGTTAAAATATCTAGTATTATATCTATATCTATAGTATAATTGTAAATTCATTAATTCACAAGGAATTTATACTCGATTCAGGATTATTCAATATTTTATAAAAGTAATCGTTATTTGATTAATATAATTGAATTTTTCACCTGGTAAGTGGTCGAATATGGAGGAGGTGCAGCAATGTCGTCTTGCGTAGCGATGCTTGGATCGGAGCTGCTTTTCAATCTAGACGGTGCACCCAAAGCACCCGGCAAAGCTGGTGCCGGACTAAGTTCCAAGTCACTCTCCGGAGAGGAAGCATAGGAGAGGCGAGAAGTCATCGGGAATAGGAAGTCATCCGAGAGTGCTTCTTCCGGCTATCATCGCAGGACACAGAGGACAACACGTTACAGAGGTTTATGCTCTATTCAACCCTTTCAGACCTTTACGCTTGTAATATCATAAAACATTGATCATCCACCGTCGTTGAATAAAGAATTGTTCAGTTCGTTAAAAACTAATCGGACGTTCCAATGAAATTAACTATAAACTGTAAACAAAGTTGAGGTAAAAATATTGTATCGCGGCAGTGATGTCTGAAAGGGTTGAAATACAAACGGAAAACAAATACTTGCCATTCGGTTAAGCTTAATTTCTGAAACTCAGTTAAGGTACTTTGAAGATTACAGAGCAAATTAGAATCAAATCGATTTATGCGTAAATATGAAATAAAATGTTCCTAATTAAAAAATATTTTTATATCTCGATCATTTTTTAGTTTGTCCGAGGACAATGAAACGTTCGATAATTACTCAGCTTAGAAGGACTCGCATGACAAAGTCAAGACAAAATATACCATAGAACATTTTGTTAGTTTTGCAAGATGCAGGATGAATGGTGAAAAAAATTCTTATAAAACGGTTTTAATTATATATTTCAATATATTATATGTGTATCTATCTATCTATCTATCTATCTACCTATATATATATATATATATATATATATATATATATATATATTTATTTATTTATTTATTTATTTATTTATTCGACAATATACTCTTAATTCTTGACCTAAATTGCATTTCTAATCATGCAACTTGAAATTTGCAGAGAATCTTTCCGATTATTTCTTGATAAAAAGTTTTTTTTTTTTTTTAAATATAATTAGCATTACCCTTTCAGCGCTTTAAGTTTGTACATACTGATTTTTTATTAGAAAAACAAAACTATTTCTGTACTGTTCGTATAGTTTCTTTCAAAAGGTGGTACATTACATTTCACTATAACATATATATTTAATTTTGTCAATAATAAAGTAAGGAGTTTTTAAAGTTACATTAATTATATCATTCAACGAGATTATGGACGAGATTTGTGCATTCGTCGTAACGTCGCAATTTAGATACATGTTTTTAGTAAGTAAAGCAGAAAATTACAAAATATTCTTTTTTCCATTCTGACTAGCTTCCAAATACATAGTTACAAAAGTTTCGATAATATACTGTGAGATTATTTCATTTGAACTTAATATGATTTCCGCTAAAGCTATGAACATTCAGCCATGCAAATTAAATTGAACATAAGATATAAGGTGCCTCGAATATCTTAAAATATAACAACGCCAACGCGTTGTCTTCAATACAGAACTATATTAAGAAATCTTTCATGGATTATGATAATAAATTCGATTTGATTGAACGATATATATAAATATATTTTGTAATTGTAAAAGCAAATTGCACTTAATGTGCAAAACTAAATTTTTTATTTAGAAATTTGAAAGAAATTCAAAATTTTTGTTAATACGTAAAATAAAATATTTCAAATGTTCAAGAGAACAGTAACATAGATAATTCTTTTGAAGGCGATAATCAAGACACCTAACTAGGAAAAGCGGGATTTAAATATAGCCGAAAAATTGCTCACGGACAACATCAGAAGTTAAAGACGGATAAGAAGGTAATGAAAATAACTTGTCCGTGTGATATGTGTCATTTTCGTTTACGTCGTGATATATGGTTTCCTTCGAAATCGGCGGGGGTACAGGAGGAGGAGGTAATTCGCGAGGGTTAGCGGACGAATAACATGGCTCCCACGTCATGTGTCGACCATATGACGGCTATAATAAATTATTATAAAATAACTTCACCAACGGAATTCCATTCATTCTCATCAGTAGAGATTTCGTCATTCGTACGATGTTGAAATTTAAATACCCCTATTTTACTTTTACGCAAATAAGGATCTTATCTGATCATTCATCTATCGATGTAAACATTAGACTATAAATTAAAACAAGTAATTTGAGAGAAAATCACTCTAATCGGTCTTGATTATTTTAATTAGTTGTTTAAAACCAGGTCGTGCTATTTGTTGTATCGAGCAAAAAAAAAAAAAGGAAAAAAAAGAAGAAAGAAACGTTAGGAAAGGTAAAAACGTTCTTACCTTAGTTTGACTCATCCAAAGTAGTCCTTGTTGTTGTCGGTCGATCAGTTCTCTTAATTTTCGATACCAAGCTTCCGGTGTGGTTAATGTAATGACCGCGCTGAATATATGGCCCCAAATTTTATCTAATTTTTGACACTGCTCCAGAAGCTTTTTACTACTTTTATGCGCCGATCTGAAATCAAAATCCGAGATTGTCTAATTATGCGTCTGAAAAACATATAACACGTATAACACATATAATATATATGTGTCGGAAAAACAACATCAATATATTTGTTCGATAGATACTTACTTAGGAATTCCGGCACGCATCTCCTTGATAATTTGTTTCGTTTCAGCTTTCAGAAAAATGACTATAGGATAGAATTGCGCGTAATTCAATCGATCCACTGCGTTTGGAGTGATGTCCAATAAAGCATGTTTTCCTCGATCCATCACTTCTCTGATAGCACTAAGTCGAATGATACCCGATGACTTTGTATTCTTTCCAATGTTATCATCTAACTGATTTTCCATTTCTATGAACGAACGAACGAACGAACGAACGAACGAACGAACGAACGTTTAGATTATTATTCGATTAATTTTAAGGTGAATTAAAAAAATTTTGCTACTCACGCGGAGACGTGAATTTATCAGGAAAGTCTTTCAACAACTTTTCTCTAGCTAGATCTGCGACAGGACCAAATAATACTACGGGTCTGACAAATCCTGGGTGCCTTAAGATTACTCTTTCATACGCTGGAAATTTGCTAACACTGTCTGAAAATACTACATCGTCCCAATGATCCTGAAAATGATAAACAATAGAAAAAATATACATCATTATGATAACTGATTATACGAATAAATTATGCCAGGAGTTTTATCAAGTAGATAAAAAGAAACATACTCTGCCAAGAGATTTAGAACGTCTATGACTGCTTCGTCTTCTCCTAAAGAAACTACCTCTGCTTTCACTGGCACTCATTTCCTTCTTGGTTGCATTGAATTGCGCCGTTGCTAGTTCTTCGGCTCGTGCTTTATTTGGAATTATTCCTTTTTGTACTTCCTGATTATTCCTACCAATACGAAACACCTGCCACGAGCCGACAACACCGTTGTGCAGCGTGTCTACAACGTGAAACACATCTCCGCTACGAAAACTCATTTCACCTTTTTGCGGTTGTTCGTAATGGAAATGAGTTCTGCAATATGATACGAGATTTCTCGTGAAATATACATCTTTAAATGTATATCGATTTGAACGATATATTAGTCTTTTAAAATTCTATTTAAATTCTATTTGAATTAGTACGTACTTTATGTGAAAAGAATCGCCCTTTCCAGATGCTACTACTTGATCGTATTCCTGTCGTCGGTGTTGAACGATCAAATCAATTTGTTCTTGGAGGCTAAGTAAGAAAAGGACAGCCTCTTCTCTTGTTACTCCTTTCATGTCCATATCGTTTATCTACGATAACATAGATCAGAGTTGTACACTTTGCTGCTTTCATACACAATGTGAATTTTGTTCATTTTAAAACGAGATCGATAAAACACTTTACTTTTAAAATCTTATCTCCAGGTTGTAAACCCTGAAGAGACGCCGGGCTTCCTGCTTGAACGGCTGTCACGAAAACGCCAGTTTCGTTTCCGCCACTTAATCTTACGCCCACTGATCCCTCTTTTTGGAAAGTAATAAATCGAGGATCGGGCCTAAAAATTAATCGATATTAATTAATATGCGACAAATCTTTCGTAATAGTCGATGGTAGTGGCAATAAAAGATACATCTTACATTGGAAGCTTGTTCCTAGATAGATCTTCATCGTACAATTGTCTCCTTGTGCTGTAATAATCTAAAAGAGAATATAGACGTTGCACTTTCAATTGATTGACATTTCAATTTTTAATTATTACATTCTAATATATTTAATTCGTGTACAAGTATAGTTAATTCAGATGCAAGTATTTCGAAATAAACAAAATACGTTTTCTTATATACGTGATTTCGTATTCGAAATAGAAACGTTAATTCTAAAACGTGATAAACGTAAAACGTCATAACGTTGTTCGTTTTACGAGATGTTTTACGAGATTTCGTATTTTTGAAAATCATAAATAGAGCACAAGAGCAGAAATCGTACCTTCTGGTCTAGGAGGCGGTGGCCTGGGAGGGTCTACCGTAGGTGTCGCAGGAAGATCCAATTGACTGAGAGATACATCCATCAATGGCCCTCTTGCACGACCTCTAGGAACAAGATTGCTCTTGTCCTCTATCGGTTGTCTCGTTGGAGGTGGAACGTACAAGTTCTGGCTACTGTAACTCGTCGTACCAGAAACATATTCACCAGTTTCGCTCTTTGCCTGTTGTTGAACGTGACAGCAGGAATTGTCTCGAGTTACCACGATCGACAATCTATCTTTGCACTGATCCATCAATTTCTTGGCTTCCTTTAAGGTCATGTTATCCGTAGCCACGCTGCCGATTCGCGTTAAAACGTCTCCCGGTTTCACCCCTGTGTTATCTCGAGTTACTTCTTTCACGTAAAGACGACAGCCAAGAACAATCCCGAAATCTGTAGAAAAATACATATTTAGATCGATCGATAAACGAAAGATCGATAAAAAAGGTAATTAAATTTAATTCTTAAATTCCAAATGTTGATTATAATATTTTAGAATTTAAGAAAATTTCAATTTAGTCACCGGCGTCTTTAGATCGGTGTTATTGGAACATATTATGGATAAAAAAAGTATGTTTTATCTACCATCTTTTTTATTATTTCTCGTTAAAGTCAACCGATGACTCTGAAGAGTGGAATTTCCTATACTTCCAGAAGTATTCGACGAAGCTCTACGCTTAACAACTAAAAGAACCGTCGATCCGGAATCCCTGAGAACACGAATTGCTGCTCCATAATCGGCGCCCTCTAACGATATTCCATTGGCAGATATTATGCGATCATTTACTCTAGAAAATGATAATTTCGCGTGTTGGCATTACAATAAATATTTGTAATTTCTATACTGTTCATTGCTGTCTGATAGAAGTCGATCAATTTTGAATTACAATCTTATACAAATATCGATATATCAAATATTTTAGATATTAGAGCACTAAAATAAAATACGAAACGACAATTGTATCAAATTAATAAATATATTCATTATATATATATATATATATATGTATATATATATATATATACACATATATATGTAGACACACACACACACACACACACACACACACACACACACACACACACACACACACACACACACACACACACACACACACACACACACACACACACACACACACACACACACACACACACACACACACACACACACACACACACACACACACACACACACACACACACACACACACACACACACACACACACACACACACACACACACACACACACACACACACACACACACACACACACACACACACACACACACACACACACACACACACACACACACACACACACACACACACACACACACACACACACACACACACACACACACACACACACACACACACACACACACACACACACACACACACACACACACACACACACACACACACACACACACACACACACACACACACACACACACACACACACACACACACACACACACACACACACACACACACACACACACACAAAATCTCCGTAAATGTTCTTACTGCAATTTTCCTTCGGCTGGTCCAGCTTTCAAGACATCAGAAATCGCGATAGCAGGATCGCCGTTAGTGAAATGAGGATTATCCCGACCACCAGAAACAGCAATACCGAATCCGTAACCCGGAACTCTGGTAACAGTAACATGATGAACCTCCCATGCTCTGTCGCCGTTCTGAAAAATTTTCGTATAAAAATAAGTTGGAAAAAAACTCAGTGTATTTTAATCTACAATGAGAAACTCGCTATCGTGCTTTCATATCTTATTCGTTTTACGATAACGAATTTTGTACATTGTTTCGAGAATACCATAGGCATATCGAAGAGTCTTTCCCTTTTCTATTTCCGCTCCCTCCGCCCCACCTTATAAAATTTCAATGAATTTAGTTTCTCGTGGACAGATAGCGAGAAATCGAAAAAAAAGAAAAAGAAAGAAACAAGCGGAGTAAGTACATAATTGGATGAAAATTCTAGGGGTTCGCGTTAACAAGATTCTTCTTCTACTTAACACACATTTAACTCGAACCAAATCCAGGATCACGTTTTATTTCGAATTCGTAACGTGGTTCGGTGTAACAGAACCCAGGTTTTACATAAATTGCAATATTCGATTTAATTTTCAACAAAATTTCGTTTTAAGACATTTGTATAAAAATCCTTGTATTTATCGTAGAATTTTAATAATAATAATTATAACGAGAAGAAATATTTTCAAATTTTGTATTTATCTCTGTAAAACAAAGACAATGATATTTTTGAAACACTTTCATTTATTCGTGCATGATTGTTAATTCGCACCTGTGCATCGGTTCCAACCGAAGTATTGTGAAGAATACCGTGTGTCGTGGAAGACGAATTTTGGGGATTAGCCGAATTTCCGACACCCACGTTGCTATCGTTTCTATCCATTCTCGTGCCCTGAGGAATTTCGTCTTGAAAATTCGGTGTCTTTCCGTTTAACACCTCTGAACAACCATCTTGACTACACGTGCATTCTTTTTTATCCATATACTCTTTCTTTTAAGCTAAAGCTGCATCATTGTTCTACAAAACTTTGATCAAAAATGTTTACGTGCCTAAACTCGCCTCAATTTCAACACTCTTTATCATCGTTTTTACTTAATTCCCTTATCGGTGCAACAATGGAAATCGATATATTCATTTTGGAAAATTGTCTTTCACGATATTCTCACGAAGCTTCTTCTTTCTTTTTTTCTTTTTTTTTTTTTGCAAATTTTCTCCTTAAAGATTCGATTAAACTTTTCCAATTGCTTCGCGTATATTTCTTTCTCCGTCTTTCTTCGTAAAACTTGCCTTATGGAAAAATTCCTCCCACGGATTTCGTAACAACTAAATTTTCCTAAAAACTTATTTTTGGATTCTTTCGCTATAGAAATCTATTTTCCTTCGACCTTAAATCTCTTAATTTTTCCCCTCCTATTCGATTTGAACTTTATTTTTAAAAAGTTGGTCATAAATTAATTAGCGTTTCTAGTTAGCTACACAAATGACGGGGGTATGCGTCTTCTCGGAGGAATTTTCCGACGCATAGGCGTCCCAACTGTCCCAAGCAGTGGCGTGAAAACAGCCAATCCCACGTGCATCCCAGATATATCCAACGTGGCTTTTTGCGTTTTTTCTTTTCTTTTTTTCTTTCCCTCTTATCCTACTAGATACTCTCTCTCTCTCTCTCTGTTCTATTGTACAAGTATTCTACGATATTCTACGCTCTATACCATAGGATCGCACGACCTCATTTCCAATAAAAGAGTTTCCCCAATTGCGTTGCGTACCGTGCACGATGAGCGCAACACGCGGACAATTCAAAGCAACGCGTAGTTATGGAATTCCATTTTCCTTTCGGGCGATCAGACCTTCACTTTCCTCATCGTTCTAATTCCATATTTTACACGCCAACGTTTCTTCGTTGATCTTGAACGTTTCGTCTCTCGACTAACCGAATTCGATCTCAACGACTAATCGCCTTTTCTTTTCTCTTTCTTTTTTGTTTCATACGCCCCAAATTGTTTTATCTTACATTCAACGGTATAGGTTTCTATCGTTTCAGAATATTCTTCATATTTGAAGCTTGTTTCGTAGCGTTCGAAGATTTTTGTATTTGGTTTCGTGTCGACCACGAAATTTTTTCTCTCGGCATAAATTAATTACGTTTTCTTTTTGCTTTTGGTTTCACTGAAAATTTCGTTGTTTAGAAGAGGTTAGAATCGCAAGATTTCCTTCTTGATATTTCTTGATATTTCTTGATATTCCGTTCTCTCTTCGGCAATTTCATTGGCGGTCTTTCATAAAAATCGCACAAAGGGACTTCTAATCTATTTACTTAGCTTTTTCGCACGTTTGCTGACTGCACTGCGAGTCTATATCTTTCACCAGTGTCCATTATCTTCTATCGCACAACGCTGTAAATTTATAAAATTCATATATAAAACAAGGGAACAGGCTCATTTCGCGTTAGAAATTTTACTGAATTTTCGTTCCTCTCGTTTCTCTTAATGTTTAATCTCGTTGAAAAAAAAGGATAAAACTTCTCGTTAAAAATAGCAGCTACTTTCCCTAAATCGATTACAGTATAGGATGATTTGATTAATTTTACCTATATTCTTATATTATTCTAGATTTACTTTTAGTTTCAATTTATAAATAGCTTTTAACCTAGGCTAAACTTTTAACCAAAGATATATTTTATCGTAAATTATCATTTTATTTAGAGATTCGTAAAAAGCTGAAATAACGAAGGTGTTGCGTCGAACACCACTTGTTGCTCGGAAAAACGAGGAACGAGGTTGGAAGATTCTATATCGAAAAAGTTCCGGTGCTTCCACTACCATTGAAACTTCCATTTTCCAAACTCGATTTACAAAGGAGAAGTTCGAACTGCTATAAACGTACAGACTCTTGGCAAACGAGAACCTTTGAGGGAAAAGGTATCTTGCTGCGTTCGAAAAATCAGCACCACGTTGTCAGCGGAGAACGAATTCCAATCATCCGAGTCACCCTCGGCCAATGAAAAGAACGACTCTATGAGAAAAAATTTTCAGAAAGCAAGGAAGCACCGCAACTTCCGCATCGTTCACTCCACCAGTAATGTTTTACTAGAGATTCGCTCTTTCGAGACGAGATTTCTCAAACCACTATAAACATTCATCTACTCTTTAATTAGAGTACATTAATTAGAGTACTTACTACAAGTTACCATTCGATCGATTATCTATATTAGAGGATCGAAGAAACGTGAAAAATTCGTTTCAGAGCGTTGTAGAAAAATTAGTAGAATAATTGTTTAAAATTCCTTAGTAATTATCGAATAAAGCAAATAAGAAACAAGAAACGAGTTGCATTAGAAAATAAACTTTAGGTTTTATAGTTGATATTCTTATTTCAGTCCAAAATGAATTTCTTTGTGCTACAGAAACCTCGTGAGATAATCTACGATATATTTATAGGGGATACAACGAAATACGTATATTCATAAATAATATAGGAAAAACGAAACTGAGAAACTCTATCTGTTTTTGCATCAGACAATAAGATAAGAATCTTTCGAAATGATTTTCGGGACAGAAACGAAACAAACCGTAACATCCGAAATAAAACATCTCACAATTCCAACCAGACGAATCGTTGTCCGCCGAAAAACGGAAGCTCAGAAATCCCACGGTGTGTTTTAGACCAGAAAATCCGAGATCCACCTATCGGTACTTGAAATTGCAGCGGCACAATTTTTCTTACACATCCAGCGATGTTCCATCCATAAAATGTACACTTAAAAGCTTCACCAGCAACACTTGCACGATCACTGAGTTCACTTCAGACCACTCGAAACGGAGACGAAAGTCGGTATATACACGAGCAAAAGTTGTAGCAGCTTAGGGCGGCTGTACGCATATCGGGAAGTCGAGAAATTCTTGGGCCGAAGATCGGCTCGTATAGTTTGGAGCGTGGCTTGGTTAAAGCAGGCGGCAGGTCGACGCAAATCGGATGAGAAACGGGCTTGGCGGCTGCGGGGAGGAGTACGAAGCCTGCTTGAGTGAACGTGTCGCGGACAGTGGGAAATGGTAGGGGCACCACGGACCTACGCTAGAGGACCCGGAGAATAGTAGGGAGCGCGCAGCATGCGCGTGCCTGCGCACCGGTTTTCGGCTTCACTAGTGATGGGCCCGATCTCGAGGCATCAACGTGTATCCAGTATTTGGATTTATCGTTTTAATAGTAAACATAGATCATGGATTTTTACATAAATTCATATTTTTTTTAAATATAATTTAAAACTTAGGACCCCGGTAGAAAATTCTTTCACCTACCAACTATTATAGAAAGCATTGTGCTTTGAATGTTCTATGTGCTTTTTCATTTTAGTGTATTTCTAAGAAAGACAGGTGTATCTGTAAAAGAAAACGTGAAGTTTCGTTCCCACCCTAACCTTAATTCAAATTCTTCGGACTAAAGATTTTTCAGTACAAACGATACATAATGTTTCAATACTTTGTATCATACACGATCTTTCAGTAGCGAACTGTTAACAAACACCCAAGTTACTAGAAACATCGTAAACTAAGCGTTCGTATATGTATATTCATTATTGTTGATTATTTCACCATATGTTCGAATGGTATCGTTATGTTTGTAGAAAGTTGTAATGAAAGACGTCAACATAGTATGATATTTACCTCTTAAGTGGTAGCGAATGTACGTACGCATAATACTCATACGTACACATAATATATATACACTGCAGAGCCAATATACGTGTATCAAGTTTAAGGATTCAATTTAAACATTTATGTCCACATTCTATATCTGCGCATATCGTATGTTATTGTGTCACACACAATTACTTACGAACAATGTTTATACTAGTTCAATGAATTAGAAGAAAGGTGACCTTAGTTATTTGTCGATTTTAAAATATCAACGGCTGAGACACTGTGCAGAACAAGAAAAGATTTAAAAAGATAATTGAATTAAAATATGAAATTCATAACATTCTATACATTCTACACATTCTACACATTCTACACATTCTAGCTGTTTTTAATGATAGTTTAGTTTCCATCGATGCAATATAAGATAACGAATTAGCTTGTAACATCCTAGACGATATAGTATTTTAGATTATTTTCACAAAGTCTTCGATTATTTCGAAATTGTTCACTTTGTTTGTTATGAATAAATATAATAACAATTACCTTAACAAATATGCTAGTGATACGACTGATTTTTACTTGGTTTGGAACACCCGTTATGTGAAAGTCACATCTGGACTTGAAGCACGTGCGCGTATACGACGATGAAGGCACGTATTATAAGCAGACCAGTACGAGATGCTGAAAGTAGCCAAATTGGCGTATCAACAAAACAAGCAGTATGTAAGCACATCTAATTCTGTTCCATTTTAATCAATCCTTTAGTCTCTCGATCAATTATTCCTTTTAGTGTCATAGATTATATTATCCGATATTACGATATTAAATCAACATGTTTAATTCGTTTGTTCTTAATTCGATTAACAAGTATATAAATTATTATATTCAAGTGCATTTCACGTCAGATGTATGCTTTATGATTGCTCGATGGTCGGTAATTATTGTACCACGAAAAATAGGTATCTTTAGGATTTAACCTGTATTGCGTTTATTTTGTGCAGCGTCCAATCTAATTCTACTACCTGCGAATCCAGAAGAAAGCTAGGACGGGGGACACAAAAGAGTGATACCTGAGCCAGAAAGACACATTCCAGCTGCTTGTGAGGTGTGTCATATTCCAGCTAAACTGGCGCTTTTCCTTACGTATGTTCTTAGCGATGGCTTTAAGCCTCCAGTCAATTGGGATAATATTTTTGTAATGGGAATCTCGCTTTTAATTACTGTTGTAATCAGAAAATATTATAAATAACATTTATAAATATTATTTGCCTTAAATTAATGATAATATTACGCCAATTTTAAATATATATTATAATATTAATATTATAATTGATATACGTTTAATACTAAAATATTTCTTACATTTTTAACATCTTTTTATGGTACCCCTATGATAAATAGGTATGATATTAAGTTAATTTCAAAATTAAATTATACAAGATTATTAAAATAATAAAATTATACAAGATGTAGCTACTGTGAGATAATAGTTTGTGTTATGTTAGATAATAACATTTACTTGAATAAATGCACTTTGCTCACCTTACGTCTTCTTCTGTCTCTTCCATGTTGATTCCCAGCTAAAAGAAAATTATCTTGAGCTACGTAGTTCCTTCTTCTTTGCGTACTCTTTTTTAAATCATGCCGTTTTTTCTTCTTCTTGCCATGGTGAAACAATTTACTGAATATCCTCATCTCAATCAATAGTCGATATTGACGTTTTCTTACTAGCGATCTCCGTCGGTAACTACATTAAGAAATAAAAGAATAAAACAATATTTATTTGCATTTACATAACTAACTTAACGATATTCTTATTATTTATGAACATACAAATTAAAACGTTGTTCTAACAACGTTTAATATTTACTAAACCGATCTGTACGCAAAGTCTTATTTGAAACAGTATATGTTAAAGTATACAAAGATAATGTTATTTGAGTAAATATTCCATTTAAAACAATATTCGATAATCCTTTAATAGAAATTCAATACTGACGTCAATTATGATAATAGAACTTTATCTTCGTGTCTGAAATCTTTTTAGAGCTATTTAAAATAACTTTGCCGCGCTATGAATTTGCAACTAACTATTACTATTGCTATTTGCATGCATTAACATCGATTAGTATAATTCCAGACGTTGAACGTAAATTTCTACACATTATACGTCGACGAGATGCTATAATTTTCAGGCAAATTGCATAAGAATTCAATATTTTGAGTAACAATATTTAATAAATTTAACAAGGGATATACTCTTCTTGTGTTTCATAAGTCACTTTCTTCACTTTTCACTATTAGAACACACCATTCGAGAGGAAAGGCGAGAATCGATCACAAACGATTACCGTGCTTCGAGAAAAGCTTGACGAAACAAACTTCCAACGATCAAGCCGGAGAAATATTCGGTTAGAGGAACGGTGAACACTAATTTGCGGAAGAACAGCGAAAAGTGAGCGGAGGGACGATTCGAAATGTGGGCGGTTTCATAACCTGGCTTATCGTAGCGGGTGTTGCTGATACCAGATGAGTCGTTGGAATTCTTTCGACGAACGATCGATCTATCGACCATACGAAGCTCCAAATTCACGCACTGCTTTCGTATTCTCCAAATTATGACCCGTTTTGTCCTCTATTCGTCAAATGAGAAAACACACACACACACACACACACACACACAAAATTAAAATAAATAGACAAATCGAAGAATGGTGTTAGTTTGCGAAAAAGTGTAAAAACTAAATTAAGAAGTAGAACATGATCTACTTTTAATTATTATATTGACTCTATTGAACGTTTGCCGTTAAGTCTAAGAGAATATATCTTGAAGAATAAAACAGCGTAAGTATGTATACCTTTAGATTGCGCGTAGACTGCAGTAACAGCTGCGTAGGATAGTTTTTGTAAGATGATGCTGCAATCGGAAGATTACCTTTCGTTTTCAACAAGAAGACCGCTAGAAATGCTATAATTCCATGGACCTTGAAACTATTTAGAATATTCCCTATTCTCGCCAACAAAACGATGGAAAAATAAAGAGTTCGTAAATGTAACGAAATACAAAAATGATGGAAGAACTGAAATTACCAGATATAATAAAAATATAATATACAGTGGTTATCGAACGACAACGAAAGACTGCAAGTTTATTTAAAAATATATACACATCGAAAGACAGGAATCTAATAATTGTCGTGGATTAGGCACTCAAAATTTATTAAACAACAAAACGTTGCGATTTCATAATACAAATTCTAATAACTTTCAACAAATGTAAAGAATACAATATGACCGAAAAGAAATTCTTTTTAATTCCGAGGAACGCTAGTCGACGATGGATGTTTTATTTGCATCATCGATGTCAAAATAAATTGAGCCACAAACTGAAATATAATGTGAAAAGCAACGAGAAGTAGCGACGTTAAGGATAATCGTATATTGAAAAGATAATACTTATGTACATTTAATGCAATTTTGTTGTTGAAAGTTTCCCAATTTTTGCGAACATTTCTGTTCGTTTAATTATTAAACGTTAAACGATAGAAACTTTTGTCGGAATTTTATCGAATTTCCCATAGTAATTAAACGAGTTTTCCATTTCTCGTTGCCTTCCGTAATACCTGTAAATTTCACTACAGAAAAATCAATCAAACGACACGTTGAAAATAAAATAACGTTTCTGCTCGGTTCGTAAAATTCCCCTAGGCAAAACGCAGTTTCAACTGGCGCACAAACCACATTGATATTACCACATTAGGGAGAGTGAATGAATCGAAGCTATTGATTTTGGCTATCCGTTCAATCGTTCGACTCGCATAAAAATAATTACTTATATGTATCTCATCTATAGTTAATTACATGATTATACTTCTTTTCTAAACACTCAGATTTTTACTGCTTCAAATATAAATACAACTACTTTATATACAAGGCGTCTCAGAAATCTCTAATCGATTTTCTGTCTTTGTGAATTATTCGCAGATTAAGAGATCGTTCGATAAACTAAACGAGATAACTAAAATCGAAATCCAAAATATAATAATTTTATTCGTTGAGATTAGACTTAATTTAAATGATACAATAATAATGGTATAATAGTAAGGAACGATTTTTATACAACGATTACTTGTAAAATTAAATGTTTAAACATTAAACGATACGATACAGTATTAAAATAGGGGATAAAATACTCTATATCCACGTGAGTGGATTTATTTGTTACATTGAGACACCTGGTATAATCACAATGATACAACAACTATTTAATTATTGATACCACCTTAATAAATATTTCTTTCCTCTCGGCAAGAATAACGTTCGCATCGTGAAGTAGTAAATACTTGTCATTACAAAAACTGAAGTTCAGGTGGAAGTTAAATATCGCGAAAGTTTGAATTCATATTGGCCCAACAGTGAGTTTTCTCTTTAGAAAAAGCTGCCCGAAATAGTGACGATATTACAATATTATTTCAATAGTACAATCCTTAAGGAATATATATATAAGACGCAATTTTAATTCGATCGTATATCGTCAATTGTCCTTTTAAACGACAAGTATAACAGTTTCTTATCTTCTTTTGTAGTGGTAACCATAGTTAATTACATTTTTGTTTTTTTTTTTTTTTGTCTTCTTTTCTTTTTCTTACCTATTTTCAATTGCCGTAGTATTATCATCGTAGTATTGCCACGGTACTGGACATGAAAATTATGGTATCATCAATTCGAATAGTCATTAGATACAATACCGACAGCGCTTAAGGAAAACAATACAACTTATCGAGAAAACGATTTTATTCGTTATCATTATTTTACGACACTGCCATGCAACTTGCTGGTTAAGTTTGTTTTTCAAACGAGGCAGTATAATCGGCATGAGAAAAAGAATAGTCATGCAATTAGTCACGAGATTCGTAGACATTTTGTTCAACACCGCTCCAATATTGCTAAAACCGTTACTAAACGTATTTAAAAAAGATGGAGCATCTAAAAATGCTAGAAAGGGAATGTAAAAGTCGTTTATCGTTTATCGTTTATCATTTATCGTTTATCGTTTATCAAGAAACGTATTCGATATGGAATCATTTACGTAATTAAGTAACAATTTAATTTAATTTAATACTGGGGCAATACAAAGTTACTATCAGAAAAAAATTCATATTCGCAATCTTCGTTTAAATCATACAGATGCCTTAAGTATATATCTATCTGTTTTAAATTATTTCAAATATTCATATCAACAACACTGAGAAACTGGGTAAGAAACAATTTGATTTACAAAATATCATTTAATTATTTTCTGTACAAAATAATATCAAAAAATAAATTATTTAAAAAATGACTTGGTAACGTTCTTCATTACTGATAAAAGTAGAACGATTGCTCTCATTGCTTCTTTCGATAGTCCACGTACCAATCGAATAATATTTTTTAAATTGCTTGAAACATTGCTTTCCCAATTTCTCTAATACGCTTAAATAACCATATGACGTAATATAATAGCAATAACGTGATATCACAACATAAAAAAACATAATCAACGAAACTTAACGGAATAACTTCGATATCTCTTTAATGTATTATTTCTTTCTCGGAGGAAATTGAAACGAATTTATCGTATAAACTGAAAAACAGGTGCATAACACGTCATGGTGGCGTATCGGTAAGCCTCCAGTATTTTCTTGTAAGATTAAGACTAATGCGCAACGTATTGCGAATCGAGCATCCTCCTATAATATAAGATAGTACGGCAATGATAGAATGGAATCAAGAATTAATTCGATTTCCAACACAATGGTAATATCTTTTGTTCTTTTGTTCGATATAGGTCTTGTCGTTAACAGTAGTACGGTCATATTCGCGATTTTCTATGAACACGTTATATTAACACAGTAAAATATATGTGCATGTAACTACTTAAGAATTATTACAGAGCCCCTATTCTTTATCCGTTTACAATTACACATATATATATATACATACATACATACATATATATATATATATATATATATATATATACATACATATACATATATATATGTAAAATGTATACATATACACGTGTACATACACACGGTGTTCTGAAAACGGCAATACAAATGATAAATATAAAACACTTCGCCTCGAGATTGAAAAAACCTATTAACCTTTCCCATTTTTTCTTTTTCTCTTCTGTCCACGATAAAATAACGTAAGCGCAGGTGTAAAAAATTCGCGCGAAGCATTAAACGATTAATATTCTCAAGCACGTTCTTAAATCTGAGACACGAATAACGAAGTTGCGTGCACGTTTAAAAATTTTAATCGCAACCTATTCGAAAAACTGAAACCTGTATCACTGTGGAAAAGATTACTCTTCTACTAGATTTGTCTCCAGTTTACAGCGGCGAATAATTTTATATTTCCCGCTTGTACCGCTCGATTTTCGGCAAATCTTAAATTTAATATGTATATATATACACGTTAATACAATATATATATATATATATATATATATATTAAATTTATATATATGCATTTATATTTATATATAATTCAATGGATGGTAAGTGTCCATCATCTTTCTTTTTCCCTTCTACCTCTCACTCTCGCTGTTCACTCGTGTTCTTTTGCACTCTTTCTTTGTTTTTTGGTTTCAAATGTGTTATCCAAGGGCAGTAACCCGGGTTTTCATTTTTTTTTAAATATTTTCTTCTTTGTCGCTTACGCCATTGATTTTTAGGTGTAAGACTTATAAGTGGTCAACAATAAGAAGCACAGTTTTAACAAGTAACGTTTTGTTGTCTTGCGCGTACACATTCACGCGTTCCTTCTATTTTTTTCTTTTTTTTTTTTCTTTTTGTCACAGTCATACACGTATACACACATACGTATTCGCACACGCGTACATTCTCTTCCTTGTTCTCCTTTCTCTCTTTATATTTTTCCTGTTTACCCAACTTTTCTATTCCCCTCGTTTACTCATCTCTCCTCTCTCTTTCATCCACTAGTTATGTTACTATGAAAACTTACTCTATCGACATTGCTCTATCATTGAAAGTTTCCTCGCAGAGCTTCTGTCTTCTGTTTTCCTATTGTTTTCTTGCGTTGTGTCTAAAAAGATAATACAAAGCGTAGAATTAATTTTACACTTTTAAAGATAAAGAAAAAGATTCAACGATATAACGGTTATATATATATATATATTAATGAAATAAAAATCAATTATATGAATTTAATACTCTTAAACCTTAAACCGTGAACGCTTTTACGATACCCTGAAACTCTAAACACGGGTCTTTCGTGAACGATGCATTTTTTTAGCAAACGATACTTGTTGAAAAAATTCCACGAAATTCGTATAACATGTACGAACGTTCTAAATTAAGCTTATCACAAAAAATGTTGTCAAATAACATTTTTTAGGTCAATGTGTAGGAAGGGGCGGCGAGGGGCGGGTTAAACTTAACTCGGACGAAATAACCCGGGTATGAAATACACGCGTTTATAATTTAAAGAATTTAAAAATGAATGCTCTGTCGTAAAACTCATGAATCGGCCCCGTTATTTCTCATTAGCACGAATGAAATTCATTGTTAACTCATTATTTAGAATAGATGAATTTTATATCTTCCGATTATTATTTGATAATATCTCGATATCGAATGTAGAATGTTTTCGTAAATGCAGATTAATAGAAATTTTGCTTTACCAATAGTGATAAACTATGTTTGAGAGGATTAGTAAGCCGGTGCTCGAAAATCGGGCATCCGTTGTTGCTGTTGTTGTTGCTGCTGTTGCTGTTGACCGAATGGTGGTTCTTGATAACCAGCATCAGTCGCATCAGGATAACTTGTATATCCTGTCCCACCAACAGGATCAGCTTCGTAACTCGGTGCGAACGCAGCGTCGGTACCTTGCTTGAATCTTTGGAAGGCAAACCAGGCACAGGCAGCCTTTTCAAGTTCGAAGGAAAATATATTAAATTAAAAAGAGATAATAACGTTATAAGGAAACGAATGATAATAGTAAAGCGAATCTTTGTATAAAGTAAAAAGAAAATTAATCGAACGCATGCTCGAACGAGATAATTGATATTTTGAAACTGATTACATACATTCATCTAGAAACTGAACACAATAAAAGTATTTGATGAATGTACCCAGGTGAAAATGGAGAAGAAGGAGAAAGCGATAGCGCTTTGAACGTTGTTCACTCCGTAATTATTTTCCGGCGTTTCCGATTTGTTCCAAGCATTGGTTAAGTAACAGAATCCGACGAAGTAAAGGAATGCCCAAAAGCCAGAAAACCTAAGCATTAAAACAGATTAAAGCGACTTAATTATTACGATACATCGGGTATGAATATTTTCGTTCTAGATTGCGGATGTTCGTGCAAATGTATATTTTTGTGAATGCAATTACAGAACTTGATAGTAACTTGATAGTTTAGTAAGTAAGCTATTGGTTTGAATTTCCTGAGAAATCGTGTATTATTATATGGACGAAATTTAATTTACAGCGAATATTCGGTATCGATCATTTGAAAAGAAATAAAATTACTTTAGGGCAAATAGAATAAGAAATATACCCTAAATCGAGCAGGACGAAATGCTTCCTGGTCTTAACAGAAGACATCTGTTCGAAAAGATATTCGCCAACAAGGAATCCAATGCTGGCGAGGAAGGCGAGGACTCCAATTCCTATCCCGTAATTACAAGCATTGTGGTCTCCGTTGTAAAGACAAACGTCTTTTCCGTCTGGCTTTTCTATGTATCCCTTGTTGCTTATGCATCCGAACACGATTATCGCGAAGAGCTAAAAGATTAAACGACGATATTTGTAATTTCTGATTTAAATTATTCTTACAAGAAAATACATGATATCTTTGGTAGTATTGCACTTATTACGTATACATATTTTTTCTTAGATTTTTAAAACTTTACTTTCATTCAAAATTGCTTAAATTTTATACACGAAACTTCAAATTAATTATTCTCTTTAATTAGCTTTCCATTAGCTTTCTTAATTCGGCGATACTATATTAATTGGTATTGGTTGGTCGGATAAACGCTAGAAGAACTATTTTAATAGAATTTAAAATAATTCGAACAAGTCGAAGTAATAAATGAAATTAATGATCGTTAAAACGATCGAAAGGACACGATTCATTGGATCATGTTAGGTTTTTACATAGACAGTGAAATACTGGATATCTTGTTCGGTATTACCGCTTACGATAGTGTCATTTGTTTACGTGACTGATTCGTGAATCGTTCGAATCAATTTTTCGAACTATACACACACACATACACACACACAAATATCGATAGACTTCCTAATATCGTCCAGCCTATCTTTAACTTAGTTCGCAATTCATGCGTGTTTCTTCATACCAACTACTTATAGCGAAAACTATAGATTCGTTGCTTTTAGCAAGCTAATCCAAAACTCATAAATAAATTTATTTTACAAATAACGTGCGAAATGTACAAAGATAGGTAAACGATTACAAGTTCCAACATAGAAATGAGATGCCATATTTAATTAAACGTATAAGTTTGTTGGAACACTTTCCTTCTGCGTTGAAACTAAAATATCCGTTCTCAAACTAGATTTCCGTTTGATTCTCCATGAAATATTTGTTTTTTTTTTTTTCCTACGTATCTATTTATATAAAATCGAATCTAGTTTCGACGTGGTCCAGATCCGTCTTGAGATGGAAGTGGGTTAGACGAAGGTCACAGTTCTGAGAACGAAGAAAACAATCGAGAGTAAAGAATAATTAGCAGATAGAATAATTCAATAATTATTTGTTTAAGAGAAATAAAAATGTTTAATTTAAGATAAATCAAAAGAGGAAATAAACGAAGTACGTTACTTTACAGCAGTCGTTTTACAGTCGTTTTACAGTCGTTTTTAAAAGTAATTGTCGATTTTCCAACTTAATTACGAATACATTTCAATTTACCTTAATATCCAAGATTTATTAATGTCAAAGAATTCACTTTTTGTAAAGGGGTAATTTGTTTCTATATCTAAGATGATATAGAACTGTGTAAAATTACATTTGCACTCTTTAAGCATCAAAATTTACAATTTTTTTTTTTTTTTTTTTTTTTGCCCTTCTCGTATGAATCACACAGGTGGAACAGATTATTATATCTCGATTAATCGATCGATATCTTGATTAAGAATAGAAAAATATCATAAAATTAGTTTACGAAACGACATTACTTTTCTCAAAAATGTCTAGAAAATGCAAATGCAAATACTTTTAACGGATCTGCGTATTTTTCTCAACTACTACGTAGATCGTTTCTTCTTCTCAGATGATTGTACGCAAAAGAAAAGTACCAAGGTACAAAGGTTAGGTATAAAGGTCGTTTTAGAAAATCAGTTTGCAAGATGTTTAAAATTCTGAATAGGTCGTACGTTTCGCCCAAGATACATTAGATATCAATTGTAAACACTTTCGGACGTATGACATAGGTAATAACATTAGATCATTCGAAGACACGAAAACTCTAACACTACGCAATTAGTTACTGACAATTTATAGTCACGATAAATTCATAGACTCTGTGATTTCTTTTTACGAGGTTTACCTTATAAGGATAAAGTCTACTCGAATCCGTTTACTTCTGCGGAAGACTTAAAACAGCCAGTTAAATTACATCGCTCGAATATAAACAGCCGCCGTACTAATTCCGTTATGGAAGATATGAAATAACAATTCATAAAGTGCTCGCCATGTACGTGAAGATGGATGGAATATTCCAACATCCTTAATAAGGCGGACGACTCATCAAAAATTTGAGATATTGATTTCCTTCACATTGTATATTGTACTCTGTTGTCTCTTCGCGTAGTATATTCCGAAGAATCGATCTATGTATAAAAGGATATGCAATTTCTATTATATGTATTTCTATTTCGTAGACATTTCTCACACAAGTTAAAGTCACAACATAATATACTATTTCACTCTCTTCTATTTCTAACCAAACTCGAAATATAATCCGACCCAATTTCGCCACCCATCCCGTATTCTGTGGTAATTAAAATCTTATTAAAATTGTACGCGCCATTCCATTTCGAAATTCACCCCAAAACTGACCTGGGCTACTTTGCTGTGTTTTAATTAACCCCGTTGCCATTTTTCCCTCAGTCTCGAGCCAATTATATTTTCTTAACGACAGAAAATATCTCGAGTTTAAACAAAATATGAAATTTTATTATTCGTATATAGAACTGGTATCAATTTTTTATTAGAAAACATAATGTTTCCCCCAAACGTTACGAATCCTTTTTGTTCGCTAAAATAAGAACTAGATTAAGATATCAAAATTAGAGGACTGCAACGGGGTTAGGTATGCAATACTGGTTGCATACGTATGACAATTTTTTCCCACTTTGGTTATCCCTATCAGGCTATCCCCACTATTTCGTTCTTGAAATTGACCAAGAGTTCACCCAGCCAGCTTCAAATGTCTCATATCTATAAGTACTCGTTGCTCGTGTCGTATATTGGCATCCCACTCGCACTCATTGCATCGTTTCCTCGACTTCGCAGGACACCTACCTAGCTAGCCAGAAAAACATTCTCAACTATGGCCCTAGACTCCTCGCCATTAAGCTCGAATTATCGTATTTCATTTCTCCATATCTTGAATCACTTTTAAAAATCGTCTATCACTTTCACCGGGATCGCGACCTAATCAAATTTCTCTCGTTTACTTGAAACATTTTTCAATAAAGATTCGTCGATTTATCGCTCGACTTTTTATCGCGAAAATTTTTACATAAAATATGTTTGAAAAATCAATAGAAAATTATACCAGATCCTTCTATTATGGGGTGTATCGCTGGAATTTGCGAAAAATCAATAGAACCCCATCGTATGAAACTGGTGGGGGTGGTTCACCCTTTAAAATCAATGTTCGTCGCGTAAAATCGACAATATCGTTTAATACGTAATGACGTTAATACAGAGCAATCGTTATTAGACGTTCGAAGAGACAACTTACCAGACATACGGCTCTTAAAATGACTTGAGGCCTTTGGATAAAGGCAATAGGGTCGAAAGGGGCTCCTGCCTTTCCTCCACCGTACGCTCCACCGTCCATCTTATTACGACTGAGCTGAAATTTGAAAGCTCGAAGCTAATGGAAGCGCGCATGCGCCGAGAGACAGTACTCTTTTCCTATCCCCACCACCCAATTTTTTAGGGTGTATCCTTTCACAAGGGCGCTTCGGGTGGATGGAACGTAAATTAATCGAGAATTCGACCCTTCTCGATTCACTCACCAGTCGCCATGCGTGTTTCGTACGCGTGTTTCGTGTACGTTACTTTCTTTAATTTCATTAACCTGAATTTACGTTGATAGGGATATTGGCGCGATTAAACGAATGTTATCAGTCTGTTTATCATCATTCGTACTAAATCAAGTTTTTAATTGTTAAATATTATTCCAATGAAAAATAAAATTTATAACCATCTATAATAAATCATCTACTTAACGTACGAGTGATATCATTTAATTTTATTTATCATTCTTTGTAATCCATTTAAAAATGTCGTGTCAGACGAGTGTTCTATATCTTCTATATGTTCGATACATTCATCTTTCGTTCGACTCAATTTTTCCTCTATCTATATTTTAAATTGTTTGTCATTTATTTCATCATTATTATTTTATTATTACTTTATCGTGTATTTATCATAATGTAGTTTGAAATCTTATTATAACAAAAGATTATATTACTAATAATAAAGAAGGCTGATTATTCTAGAACCAAGAATTTATTAACATCTATAAAATGTTTATAATACCTTTCTCAAAAATTCTGACAAAAATAAAACAAATTAAAACTTTGTATAAAAAATAAATTTTATATCTTATAAATATTATAATATCTTCTTGATTTTTATACTTAGTACTTTGCTTTATACCAGATGTATATATTTAAGTTATATACATCTTAGATAATAGAAGCATTATTAATCCTAATGCACCCATACCGATGCAAACGTGATGAAGGTTAATATGTTTTGGTTTTATCTTCAACTGTAAAAGATAATGAAAATTGAAATATTTAATGTTACGTAAATACCATGAAACAACAAAGTTGTATTACAAGTTGTTGTAATACAGACATTGTATTGTGATTTCATTGGAAAATTTTTCAGGACTTACCCTTAAAATCAGTTCGTTAAGTTCGGAAAGGTTCTTATTTACTTCTTCTAACTCTGTCAGTGTTGCAGCAACAGCGATAGGTAATACCTTAGAAGCGCTCAAACACTTGTCGGGATCGATAAAAATATTAATTTTTTCCTTAACGAGTCTCAATCGACAATACGCCATAAACGCTTGTATCAAACAGAACTGCTGCTCTGCGTCTTTGATTATTTCAAGAAAATGTTCGATCCTAAAAAAAACAATGAATTCTTGATAAAACTACTCGTTAAATTACGTATCTGTATACAAGAGAAAAGTTTTTTAGAATAATTTTAACAAAATAATATTCAACCTGTCCTCGACATTTGTTATTACGATGTTGGATCTTCTTTTCCTAACGTTTAAACAATTTTTTAACTCTTCAGCCTTCTTGGAATCAGTGCCTATATTAAAAATTCCTGGATTAGATAAGAAATATATATGTACTGTAAATAAGTGTAAATTACAACGATGAAATTTGTATTGGTAAAGGCAAATGAAAAGTTTTCATTCGAATTTCACTTCATTATTTAACGTTATTAATATATTAAGAACATTTCAATTTACCTAACATTATTAGCTCTTGTACAGTAAGCTCGTGTAATACATCCGTTGATATATTTCTTTTCTTGCATTCTACTATTAATTCAGATGCACCCAAACCACGCAACAAAGTTGCTGTTTGTTTAGTAAAACCAAAGGGATCAAAATAATTACTCATTGTTTCTTATAATGCTAAAAATTAAAATCTTATTTTTTTATTTTCATATAAATATATTTTTCTAACTCTTTAATCGTCCTTCATAAATTTAAATGTAGAATAATAACATTCCAATTTAATCTTCAAAAGACACTGACATTTTCAAATTCTACTTACTTTATAAGCTCCTAATCACACTCGATTAATATTATACTCTTTTGTACAACGAAATTATTGATATATACGGTTTCACCACCGAAACCTGACGTTAACCTAAATTTAATATTTTAACGATTCCGCAGTAACGAACTTTGATGACGATATTAATATACTAAATTTTTCTGTCCCGTTCTAGTCGCATCATTCATTACGCTTGTTTCAATAGTTTTATAATAATCTCTTATCGTATAATAGGTTAAGTTTCAAAGTGTTCATAAATCTATCAATCTTTTATAGATAAATTTTATTCTATAAACTTACATACATTCTAAATAAATACACACACACACACGCGCGCGCTATATATATTTAAATGTATACTTAAACGTAATGTATACTAAGATTACAATTTTATAACTTAGATATCCATGCATTAAATTGATTCTGATAAGATATATGCAACTTCATTTTAATCAGTTGAAATACAATGGAAATCAGATACTCAATATGTAAATCAGATACTTTTTAACGTACACTTGATCATATGCTCGATCATGTATTTAATTATACTAATAGTTCTGGATATTACTCAAATGTTGAATATGTAAATATATTTTCTTTCCTCACGAATGATTTAACGTAAATTATTGATTTTATATCAACATTAGTATTTACTATTCATATTACATATATTCAGTATACGTATATATTCAGCACGTATGCATATAGATAATATATTTACAATTGAATGTATCTTCGATTTGTTAGAAAAAGTGATATTCTAATTCGAAATTACTGGTATTACTGTATTAATATGTAAATATAATAAATACATACCACGGTGTACCAATATTCTTTTCAGCCATCGTAATTTATATCTAGATAAGGTAAGAAAAAGGATTCAATAAAAATAATAATAACAATTATAATGCCAATATTCTATATTCTGTTCTATATTTTTTTTTTTTTTTTTTTTTCATATATATATTCTAACATCTAAACAATACATTCATCGATAAAGAAACATCAGTAATCAGATAACCATGAACCAATCCGATCATTTGTCGACTACTGAAAATGTCGATTTGACGCTTATTGAAAATTTCTCCTGATATCAAAGAAATGAATTCAATACGAACTGGACTTTATATAAAACCAAAATACAATTCGTGGTTTCCAAAGTATCGAAAAATCGACGGATATTTCTACGTAAGCGTATGATAGCTAGGGACATGGAGGAGGTCATGCTCGACAGGGGTGATGGAACAAGTGTCTGTGTACAAGATGGCGGCGCCCGGGGCCTTAACTGTCGTGAAAATCGCCAGGAAGTAGCCTGTAAACGGAAGCCGCGCGGTGTCGCAGCGAGCCGCGGATCCCCGCTCCGAAGGATGTGATCCGAGGAAGAAGAAGAAGAAGGCCGAGCCTGGGCCAGAAGAGCCTTTTTCAACACTGCCACGAGGAAATCCGGATTATCCAACTTCCTCGGGCCAGTATCGTGATCGTCTTCGTGGCCACGCCGACGATGGAGTCCAGGGAACGCTACCAGGAGCTCTGCAGACTATGCGCATCCTACGACGCCGTCAAGATGGACATCTTCGGTCAAGAGGGCAAGAACAGACAGCTCGTTGACAAGATACAAGCTTGTCTGCCGTTTAAGGTTCGTCATCGTTCGCCTACCAGAGATTTCTTTACACGTCAACCTCCTTTCCCTTCGTGTCAACCTCCTCAAATCATTTTCAAAATGTTCCCCATTTAACGAGTAACTTGCGATTCAATTTACAACATTTCGCTTATTTATGTCGGAAATATATTATATCAATGCCTTTCTTATTTTATAGTTTCTTTAAATGTGTCTCGCAATTGTGTGAAGTCACAAGTGGTTTTGTACTGCTTTCTGTCTTTCATATTTCCGAAAAGTTTGATCAAGTTTGCGTGGCGTTTTATGATGATTTCTGTTAGTCATAGTTTTATCTCCCTCTGGATATTATTTATTACTTGTGTTTTAATTTATATACACAGTTCAATTCCTACTTGTTTCGGAAAAATGATAAATTTTGAAAAATCGATGAATTTGGTGTTAATCTTAAATGATCCGTCAATTTTATTCTTATTTTATTATCGGGTTGCTTCTTCGTTTTAATTGTTCTTGTTACTATTTTTAATTGGCTTTTACGCCTTGTTCGTTGCGATGAAAAGTATTTATTACGTTATTTTCCTTGTTTGAAATATGCTCGATCTTATTATTCATTGTATCATTTTACGATAAAGTTAGAATTGTTGCCCTTCTTCGTTTTCCTTTTTTTTTTTTTTTTCTTTCTAATTTAATTTGTTGTTTTTACTATGTAAAAACTTCTATATAATTTTATATTTTATGTAAATATAATATCAATAGCTCTTGCATTAAATAGTTTGATGTATATTTAAATGTTTGTAATTTTTATTTCCGTTTATTTAACATCTTTTTGATGGATTCTAAAGTGTATAAAATATTTTTTATGTAAATTCGAAAGTACCATTTTTTTTCTTTTTTAAATTTTCAACTTCAATTTGTATAGCAATTTGTATAACATTTTGAAATGTAACTATCATAATTCTTTTAAGTTCATTTCATTTTATATTTATTTCATGCCGTACCTTCCAATATTGATATTTTTACATGTATACAATTTTTCTGATAGTACGATTTATGTTCTTTTGAAGTTATTGAAAATTTAATTATAATGTCAATGATAATATTATTATGATATATCAAAAATTACTTTTTTATTTGTTGTATCAAATACACATTTCAATCATTGTGAGTCTAGAAATATTATATAATTCCTAGGCATGTGTACGACATCATTGCCAAATTTTACTTGGAATATTTTCATAGTGACGTTGATATAAATGTTAACTGCAGTACTATACATCTTTGTTCATATCATTTATGTTACTGATATTACTTTATGCTAATTATACTTATTTTAATTGTTGCGTTGCATAGTCCATCAAGTTCATTTATATATTGATTAAATAAGAATGAAAACATTAATATTTAAATATTTAATTTCAGATTGCAGAAAATGATCGACTACCGAAATGCCTGTGTTATCGGTGTATGTACAATTTGGAAAATTTCTATGATTTTAGAACAGCATGTGTTAATGCAGTGGCTCTCTTGGAAAGGTGTTTATCACCTTCAGAATCGGTAAAAATAAAAATTTGCTTAATCGTTTAAAAAAAATTGTTGTCCTATTTTAATCTTAAATATTTAAAACATCTTTTTCAATCGTTCAGAATGGAGATGTTACAACCATCTTGACGTGCTGTAATGATTCAGAGTTTTTCGAAGGACGGAAAAGTATACCAGTGTTAATTCCAGAAGCTCCTATCGTAAATCCAAATGCTGCTTTAGGCACACCACCCAGATTGAATTCTGATGGAGAGGCTGATCATGAGGCAGAAGAAATTGATAACAGTGGAACAGACGAAGGTGCCTTCTTCAATTTCAACATATGAAAAATATGTATTAAGAAATAATATTCTATTATTCTATTCTTGTTCTTCCTTTTATTTTAGCAACAGTCATGGACGACTCTGAAGATCGTCATTCAGAGGAGTATGAAATGGATATGGAGACAAATCCAAGTGATTTTTTGGAAATGACCTCGATAGTTGCAGAAGAACCTGAAGAATCAGGATTAAAACATCAGGATGTTTCCAGTAACTTATCAGAGGTATATTATATATAAATTCAATTGAATGTATAGCTTAGATGTGTCTAGTGAAATCTGATAATTTACATTATTACAGCATACATCTCAACAACATGAAGTTTATGTTTGTTCCTTGTGCAGCAAAGCATTTAGTTCAAAGGGTCATTTGTCCTTGCACGCACGCATTCACGTTGGTGCCGGTGACGTGATTGGTGAAAAAGTTCTTACGGATGATCATACATCGTATAAAAGGCCCTATCAGTGTGATCTCTGTCATAAATCATATTCCACTGCAAAACATCGTTGGGGTCATGTATCTACAACTCATAGGTATGTCTTTTTTAACTCTCATGCTTTCATTTAACAATTGCACATATTTTTAAAATGGATACGTAATATCATAACAAAAAGATCTAAAACATCAACAAGAATAATTCTAGGAGGGAGTATCATGCTATTCTGAAGAGGCAAAGCAAAACATTAATTGTAAAATTGATATTAACATGTAAAGGGAATATTTGATAGATATTGATACATATTAATAATAATAGTAACAATGACGGTATGCTAATATCTGTATCAGAGGCCATCCGGCAGTGACATGCGGTTATTGTTCCCGTATCTACTCAACCCGAACAAATTTGGAAGAACATATAAAATCACGTCATGCTGGTCTTCCAGCACCTACGGAGGTTCCACTGAACAATGCCTATCGGCCAGAAAATAGATGTCAATGCAATGCTTGCGGGAAGATTTGCACGGATGCTATGGAATTGAATCTTCATGGTAGGATTTGTACCGAAGGGCAGAGATTAGATCTTTCAGGAAAAAACGAGATTAGTGATAATAAAGTTGTGGATAGTTCAGAAGCTTCAAGTATTGGAAGTGATGACGATGGCAAAGATTATAGGTACTATTAGTTCTATTATCGGATTAAATATATCTCATATCTTTCTCTTTCCCTTTTTCCTTATTTTTTTTATTTACAAAGGTGATTTAAAATTATTTAATTATTTAGAAGTGCGGAAGCTAAATTAGCGAAAAATCCTCAATTAACAATTTTAAAACAAGCATTGACAAAAGGAGATAGTCTTAAGCGAGATTTTGAAGACAAATTTACTACAAATTGCAAACCAAAAAAATTACCGAAAACAGGTAACTTGAATACAAAATAAAGTTTTATTCATACAATTATGAAACAAGAATTAATTTTTTCTTTCATTTAATAGAGCATACTGACTTTCAACGTACTAAGAAATGGTATTGTGAATCGTGTCCTCAATGTTTTACTTCAGTTAATGATTTAAAAGAACACGAAGCAACTCACGATGCGGATAAACCATTTATTTGTATTTTGTGTAAAAAAGACTTTTTCCTTAAATCTTCTTTAAGCAGGCATATTCAAACGTTACATGGTGTTGATCCATGTCGTATGGTGGAAAGTGATAAATGTCTAAAGAAAATTGTTTCACATAATTGGAATGAATCTATGGATCTCGATTCGTATGAGGGTAAAACCTCTTCTGAATTTCCATTGTCTCCAGATGTACGTTTTATAGAGTTTAACACAATCTTCTCTTTTTCCTTTTCTTTCTTTCTTTCTTTCTCTCCTTTTTTTTTTCATTTTTTCTTAGGGAAAAATCACACTATTTAATCTTCATTCTGCATTTTCTTTTTTTTCTTCTTTAATTTTAGACAAATGCAGAAAATGAAGACGACCATGAGAGTGGACAAGAAAATCTCATTGAAATTGAAACTGTGTTTGTTTGTGAAATTTGTACTCGTGATTTTAATGACCGTGCGTCTCTTTGGCTTCATATTCGTGCTACTCACAAAGAATTTGCAGCATTTGCATGTGGTGTTTGTTTAAAAATTTGTGCAGACAACACACAACTTTTGAACCATGTAAATATGTACCACGGCGGCTCGAAATTACTACTTTCTGAACAAAGAAGGTACTTCGTTTCAAATTATATAAATGCTATTTGATAATAATGGCAAATTTGTAACTATTTTTATTATTACTGTTAATAGATACAGTTGTACTATTTGTGGTAGGCAACATGATTCCAGAAAAAAATTAATTGCTCATGTATCCATACATAATGTGGATCCAAATTATGATCCTGCTACTTTTGTTCAATTAAATAGTAATTATTATGGAGAGAACATTAATGGTAACGAAACTGCGGAACAAATGCTTGACTACGAAGAGGATAGCGATAAAGTGGACTGTTATATTTGCTATAAATCGTTTCCTAATGAAGATCATTTAATACGACATCAAAGAAATGCGCACAGAGTAAGAATACTTATAACAACGGCCAAATTATTAAGCGGAGCAAGGAATTTTCTTACATTCTTTTATTAAGCAAATTTTTCAATTTCACAGTCGGAACAACTAGTGCCAGCAGGAGATCCTTTAAATCCTTCGAGTTTAAATGGTGGTGGTAATAGAGCTCAATATCATCTCTTTTTCGTTTGTGAACTTTGTGGGAGTTCACATCCCAGTAAATGGGAACGTTGGCTACATGTTAGTTCGTCTCATAGCAATGAATCAGCCATAAAATGTGATCGTGAAGATTGCGGTAAAATTTTTGCTACAAAATCTCTTAGAAATGAACATATTCAGCATCACGCAATCCAAGGTTCATCCCCAAATACTTGTGAAATTTGTGGTAAACTTTGGGGTAGTAGAGTTGATTATTGGAAGCATGTTATGGGCGTTCATTCGGATACCGTTCCATTAATTTGTGGTGTCTGTTTAAAAGTGTTTCCAAACGTTTTGCAACTGAGTACTCATGTAAGATCGAAACATTGGCCGTTGACGAATGGTGACTTTAGCTGTGACATTTGTGGTAGACCATATTCGAATAAATCCAAAATGTCCAGACATAGAAAAATTCATGGTTTTGAGGAAAGCTGTGAAAATGGGGCTGAAAATAGCGAGAATAAAGTAGAGGGGCGAATGAGGGAAACAGAATTAAGTTGCGAGCTTTGTGCAGATTTGAAGTTTACTAGTTTAGAAAAATTATGTAATCATAGACGAATCGTTCATGGACTTTTCCCTTGCGATCTCTGTAATAAATGCTATGGAAGAACTTCACATTTATGGAAACATGTAAACAGAGTTCACAAAGGTCATGAAGATGTAACTTGCCCTTATTGTATGAAAACTAGTGCTTCAAAAGATCATTTAGCAGCACACATTTCAAAAATTCATAGATACGAACCTGATTCTAGAAAGGATGGGAAAGATAATAGACAATTTAAAACCGAAGAAGTTAGTTTACATTATTGCGAAAAATGTAATAAAGGATTTCACAAGCGGTATCTATTGCGCAGACATATGAAAGGATGTCAGAATTACAGGAAAGACCCTGGAGCATTATTAACGAGATGCAGAGCTTGTGAAAGAATATTTAAAGATCGTGCCAGTTTACAAAAGCATATCGAGAATCATCATAGCACATACACGTGTCATCTTTGTAATGAAACAATTACCTCAAAATTAGGGATTATGACGCATAACAGGGTGAAGCATATGGATCATCCAGATTTAACCTGCAATTTTGGATCTTGTAGGAAATTATTCAGAACTAAAGAAGATTTAGAAACCCATAGAAAAGATCACAGGTATGTAACTTTAACAATAATTATTAGCATTTATATCTTTATCGAAGCACAAATATTTTATCCTATAAATGATTAATTGTGATTAATTTCTATTTTTTTTTTTCTTTTTTTTTCTATTAAAGATATCATACCACTCCTAACGTTTGTGATTTCTGCGGTGATACTGTTGAAAATAAACTGAAGTTAAAAATGCACGTTTTATCTCTTCATCGCAATGAAATTGGTGTATCTTGTGGAGTGTGTTTAATACCAATGAAAGATCCAAAAGAACTTAAAAGTCACGTAGAAGAAGTTCATTCCAGTGTTCTTTCAAGACCCAATACGTGTCAAGTTTGTGGGAAACAATATGCTTCAAAATGGAAAGCGTTTGATCATACTAAAAAATGCCATGGAAAAGTATTTAGGACTTGTAAACAATGTCTGGCTGTTTTCACTGAAGATTCTGCAATTAGAGATCATTATGAAACAATACATAATATTCCCAAAGATCAACTTGCAGCATTTGAACATAGATTAGATATTGGGCCGAAAAACGAATATTTTGGAATAGAGGTAGGTTTGTAATAAGTAATTATAAAAGTTACTATAAGTAATAGTAAAGCTGTATTTTATATAGTTGAATATAAAATTATTGTTTCTGCGTTAGTCTCCTGATATAATAGTGAAAGAAGAACCAGAGGATTTAGAATTCGAGGTAGATATGTGCGATGAAGATTCTAGCGACTCAAAAAGGAGAAGGTCCTTAACGGATACCTACGATTGTGAAATGTGTCCAGAAATGTTTGTAAACAGCGATGCACTTTCAAAACATTATCGTAACATGCACAATACTGATCCAGAAAGAATGTTTAAAAGATTAAAACAGGATGAACAGAGAAGAATGCGTGGTAAACTGAATTTCTCTTGCAAGAATTGTAGGCGACAATTTTGCACTAAAACATTGTATTGGAACCATATTGCAACTTGCAGACGAAATATACGAAAAGGAGTAAGTAGCATTCTTGAACAAAAAATTAATGTATTTTGAATTTATATTAATCCAAATTCTTTTTGCAGGAGGAAAATTTATCTTTACGAAATGACATGTTAAGTAGCCAAGAAGAATTTTTGAAGAATAATAATCAAATTAAGAAAGAAGAACCTACATCAGATTTAAATATTCCTGATTTCAATCTCTTTGAAGATATAAATCTTCAACTCTCTGGTCAGAGACCTCTCCCGAATCTTATGCCACTCACTCAGAGGTAAATACCGTAAAATACGATATAATATCTGTTTTCTTTTATTCTTTGTTTCTTAATCTTAATTTATGAATGATATATATACGTCGGAGATGAAAGAACACCGGAGTCTTTGGAATTTTGATTAATCCCGCAACATTGTAACCTAGACCCGCAACATTGTAAC